CGGGAGTCTTTGCTAAGGCGTCGACGTTGAGGTATCTGATACATTTTAATAGGCTCTCGTTTCTTCCCACTGCTGGGGAGGCCACATTTTTTAACTATGGTTTGCAACTTGCTGGGGGGCAGCTTCTCTCTCAGGGAAGTGATCAGCCTCCAGCTCTCCTCGCAAGACCGCTTGTCCGAGTCATCCCCACTATCAGAGTCTGCATCCTTTGGAAAACAAAAATTGAGAAGTGGCCCCAAAATAACCAAAATTAAAATGGGGGAAGGAATGAAAATGCTCAACAACAAAAAGTAACTAAAAACTAAACAAATCATTTTGCAGGGAAGGGGTGGGGGTGGGAATCAAACAGAATAAATGTTGTGAAAAGTCTAACTTAAGATTTCAGGCTTATGATACTGGACTCTTTATCCTAAGGGTGCTCTGGTAGTTTCATTAAATCCAGCCACATCTAGATTTCATGGAAAATTCGACTCTAATCATCATGGAATATTCAAAGACTTTCAAATCCAGATGAAACTGTTGAAAAAACTAAAACCAAGTACCTGGTAGGAAGGTGGAAGGAACACTTTACTCATGCTAGAAAGACGTGCAAAAGTTCAATTGCACATTTTTGCCTTGGTTACTGCTGACGAGTTAATCCAGTATAAATGTGTATATATATTTAAAGTGATCTTTCCTTCACGGTGAGTGGACCCAACAGTCATTGCAGAATGATCAGACGAACAGCCAAGGATAAGTTGAGTTAACATTGGTTAGTAAATGCTGTAAACGTGGTGCAGGAACACGCAGGTGGACAGTCCGTTCTACTAGAAAAGCAGCCAGAGAAGTGTTAGAAGGTAAAAAAAATGGGGGGGGGGGTGGAATCAGCAGCAGCCACTAGGGATGGGGGTTAGAAGTCATGTAAGTGCCACTACAACGGGTGAGGATACTTCAGGCTCCCAGGAGAACCTGCTACAAGCAAGAGGTCTAGCCACCACATTCCAAAAGGGTCTTTTCCATTTTCCACTGATAACGTTGCTTTGAAAAGGCTTATGAGCTTTAATCATCCTAAAACGGTATTTGAAGCACTAAACCCCACACAAAGCCTGTGTTATTTCGATGCCCACAAAAGTTTATCCCATATTTTATCACCAAGCCTCTTGCAAATTTACTAATTGCTAGTTCAGCTTTTGGTTTGTTGTTAACACAAGCTTGCTATGTTTTTGAAATGACATCACTCCTTAAGATTGCGAAGACTTAAGAAATGGCTTTCCTAAGTCATTTCAAACAAATAAAGCTTTTCATGCTGTTCTGAGAGGAATGCCCATTTATTTGAGCTAGTGGTTCAGGGTTCTTTTAACTCAGCAGATGTTTTCCAGGGCCTGCTTAGACAATAAGGAATCAGAATTAGCTACCGTGCTACCAAGAAGTTCAGGGTACAGTCGTACCTTGGATCCCAAATGCCCTGGAACTCGGACGTTTTGGCTCTCGAATGCCACAAACCCGGAAGTGATTGTTCCAGTTTGCAAACGTTCTTTTGGAACCCAAACATCTGATGGGGCTTCCGCGGCTTCTGATTGGCTGCAGGAATTTCCTGCAGCGAATCAGAAACCACAGTTTGGTTTTCGAACATTTTGGAAGTCAAACGGACTTCCAGAACAGATTCCGTTCAACTTCCAAGGTACAGAACAACTGTATTTTAAACACGCTGCCTAGCTGATTCTCGGGTCATTCACAGATCCACACCCACTAGGGAACCATGAGGAACATCTATCCACCCACAGCAATAACTCTACTATTAAATAATACAATCCCTTGGTTGTAAAGAAATCGTCCATCATACTGCAGTGGAAATGGAAGATACCCAAACAGAATTCACACCACATGCTAATTTCAAGGCTGTGTCCAGAAAGGGCGGGGAAGGGGGCTTGTTGACATCATTAGACTTGTCACCTCTGTATTTTATGGCACATACACAAAATTTGCTATTTGCAAATATAAAGGAGGGTTGCTGATCTCGCCCATCAAATTCCATTATGAAGAGACTCAACAAATTATGTTAAGAAACCAATTCAACAAAGCTGAGGAGTGAAAAAGAGGAAGCCTCATTCCTACTACCAAATTTGAGGGTTGGCTTCAATGCAACCTTCCTACATGGAAGATTATACTGATTACATCAAAACTTAACATACCTGGATTTTTATTTTAGGAAAGCAGATAAAACTGTCCAGCCCAGCACTGATTTTTTTCCTTAAAATTTCAATTGTGCCTTCTATGTAACATTTTTAGTGCATGTTGTGGTTATTCTTTAGTAGGAAACAACATTACATTGATTTTTGCCATAAGCGAATGCTCAGAAATCCGTTTGTGCTTTATCAGTTCTTTTGCAGAAGATATCCCTTTCTCATTCATCCACATACCAGTTTAACACACTTGGAACAGGCAGTTTTAAATGTGAACTATTATAGCCACAATACTAGACTAAGGACACTTGCAATATGTCTATGGTGAGCTTCTATAATCCAAAGAATGCTATGGACTGAGGGCAGGTGTATTAGGGTGAAGTGGGAAGCATCTCACTAACTTCAGCCTGCCCCTACTTGCCTGTCTTCTGATTTATGACTAGTCAGGTGATAACTCTGCCTGTCACTGGTTTTGGTTCCACCCCCTGTTGGTCTCTTGGCCTTCTGCCCTACCAGTCCTAATGGACACCAGTCATTGCTGTTTGCAGGCTGCTATGTGGTCTGCCTTTATCTGTGAATGAAGACGGGCCAAAGCTTCCAAGTCTCAAAGATTATTGTCATTTGTGTGCTATAGTACAGATGCTAAACACAAACTTTAAATGGCTCCCTTTACTCTGGCTTTGAAAGGGCCAAGCTCTGCACCCTGCAGGACCTCATAGCTCCCACTGAGCTGCACGTCTGCTCCCTGGATTATCCTGTGATCCTACCTAACCCCTTCTGTGTCAGGTCAAACCCAAATCTGGAACATTTGATTAGTGACTATGGATTATTCCAGTGGCCCTGTTTGATCTGCCCTCATCAGTATTAGCTCTTGCACTCTTGTCTGACTAGCACCCTCCTGAAGTCTTCCTCTTTTGAAAGATAGGGAGACCCCAGCACCCATCAGTAATGCCTGGTGACCTCCATACACTCTACATGGGGCTCCCTTTGAAAATGATCTGGAAACTTCAACAAATACAAAATGCCTCTACACACTTGTTAACAGGTGCAAGCCTTTAAGGGCATATTTTGCCAATTCTGAAAAAGTCTGCATTGGTTACCAATTGGTTTCCAAACCAGATTCAAAGGGCTAATAATAAATTCCAGTCGAGCAGAGCTACAAGCTTAACAAACTCAGAAGTTATCTTCTCATCTAAGCCCCCTAGAGTTCTAAGATCCAACATGAGAGTCTGCTGCAAGTGCCATCTTTCTAGGAGCTGAGAGTTAGCTGTGAGTAGCAGCTTTCAACTGTGGCTCCAGAATAGTGGAACACCCTACCTTGAGAGCCTATATTCTTCCTTTGTCTCACTTTGGAGACTAGTGAAAATATATTTTATTCCCACCCCACTTCCTCCTTCCCACATTTGGGATATAATGGGAAGCATGCTTTTATTAGTTCTGAGTCTACGTTGCTCCTCTGTCCACAGAAAGAGAGGAGGTGACTGTAGCCAACTCTACCCCTCCATCTGCTGCCCTCTGCACCACACATCTCACACCATTCCCAAGGATCCTCCAACTCTCAGGAGCAGTCTTTGGGAAGGTGCAGGCAGCTGCAAAGGGAAGAATGAGGTATGAAAACTCTAGTCCATGAACACAAACTCAGTATTCTATGTTTGTTCATGTTGTAGTTTATTTGTGTCCAAGTTAATTTCCCTTTCTGCCTTATTTCACTATTTATACTGTTAAAACCTTGTTCGTAATGGTCTAATGACTAGAAACAAATGAATCTGATCCACTTTATTACAACACTTTAAGTATGTTTTTTAAAATTGTCTTCACTTTATTAAAAAGTAAAATCAGCCTTGGGAACATTTTTGTTAGACTACAGTACAGAAATTGAGTAAAAAAATTTCCAGCCAGCTACTACCTTCATTCATAGTTTCAGATGCAGGGACAGATCTCACTGCCTGCCACTAGACATCCAGACCAGGGATGTAGAACCTGGTGCCCCTCCAGACATTGATGGACAACAGTAGGTTCCCATTTGTGATCTAAACCCCTGCCCAGGAGTATACCCAGTCAACTTGGTTTCCTGACCCATCCAAAATGGGAATATGGTTCTTTTAGAGATTCACTTTACACTGATTGGACGAAGGTGCCCTAGTCCTCATTTCCTGCACCAGGATGCTAAAGTGGGAGAAGCCTGCTTCCTCCCTAGCAACCATCCTCACTTCTGCTTGCTTTGCCCCAGAAAACCTGCTGTCTTTTAGCTACGTGTAAGTGATTTGCTAGTACCAAAAACTCTTTCGCCTTTTCCCATAACCACACACTGCTATGTGCATCAAACAACACCCTTGCTGGGGAGCCACACTCCATGCAAGGCAGGGGAGGAAGGTTAAAAAACATGCAGAGTTGCAGCAACAGTTTTGGACATCACGTGTGAAAAATCCTTGGCACACCAATGCATCTGGAAGGCTCTCCTCAGCAGCATAGAATTAGTACTTGGTGTTGATCCAAGAGAAAACGAAAGCAACCCTCCAGGGCAACCATAACAGGCAAGACCATCAAAAAAGCCATTTCAGAGTTGATTGGGGGAGGGGGGCTGTAACAATGCAAAATACAAGCCTTCCTTCTGACCTGTTAAGGAACCAGGATGTTGGCACATTGTACCTGTTTAGGTTCAACATCTACTTGAGGATGAGATCCATGCACTTTATGGTATGCCCCCAGGCATCTGAAGCCCAAGTAACACGTGAGAAGCAAGGGGCAGCTACAGTGGGAAGAGTCAATCTGATCACATTTCCTGGAAGTTTAGCATTTTGATTTCTGCAAGGACAGCTAGGAAATATTGACACCTACCAGCCTCTGCTGCTCCAACAAGAGATCTGCTTCCTCTTTTTCCTTCTTGTACAGAATCTCCATTTCTTGAAGTCTGGGGAGAGAAGTCAGACACCTGGTCAGCTTAATACAACCTGGGAATGTGGTTGTTGTGCCTAGCCTGGACTGGGTACCTGGCACCGAGTCCTCAGAGAACGAACCAGACTCCTCTCAGTTTGAGAACCTTGAGGAGAAGGCATGGTACCCTGAGATCAGTGCTGAGGATACCTTTGTGGGGAAGGAGAGAAGCTCCGTTGAAGAACCCTTGTAGCTGTCACCAGAGGAGGTGTTGGAACCCCACCTCCCACTTCAAGAGCCCCAACACCAAAAGGTCTGGGCCAAAAAACAACATAACATACAGCTTGTGAGCAATGGGGTCTCCATATAAGCAATCCCTTCCATACCAGCACTTGTGGTTTAGGAGGCCAGAGTATGTAAGGGCTCCCAATGGAACCATCCAGTTGTTGGAAACAATGAAGGTCTCAGGTCCCTAGTCTGCCTGTTCTGCTATGGGGCATCTTGACTGAACTCTCTGTGATACTGCCCTTGAACTCTTGCCTGACCATGCTGCTGGACCACATTTTGGACCTAGACTAATTCTCCATGCTTGACCTCGGTTTGGTTCAACTGCACTGCAGCTGCAACCCCACCTTAATGGTGAGTGTTTTGCTAAGATGCTTGTACCTCCTGAGACTGGAGCCTGAGCCCCTGAGGGTACCCACTGGAGCACGGCAATAGTCAGGGTGGGGACAGCAGATGCACCCCCCCACCTAAGAGCACCCATTTGCCCCACCTAAGAATTTCCTGGTGTGGGTGTGTGCAGAAACACACTTCTAGGTAGCGGAGCACTTTAAAAGGACTACAGGACCTTCAAGAGTCTTCTAAAAACTTATTTTGGCAGCTGATCAGTAATATTGTGGGGAAACACAAAAACTTCTGCAGAAACCAGAATCCTGCAACAAGCTAAATATATTATGACCAGTGCTCCATTTTAGCAACAAAGAAGCATCTCTCCACAAAACAAAATGTTGTCATGAGCCACTCTGCAAAACCTTCTAAAGCAAGCACCAAACAAAGGTTAACCGAAAACTACTCAGGAGCCTTTTCATAAGCAATTTCACTTCACACCTAACATTCCAACTAAAAAGAATTACATATGAAAGTTGTACCAATATTAAAGGATGATGCTCTACAACAGTTAAGCTGAAGAGAACAGCACTTCAGTAAGATGGATGGAGGGATGAATGGTAACTTGTTCAGTGTCATGAAAATGCATTACCTTTTCTCCATCTCCTGTTTCATATCAATTCCTTGTTTCTCCAGCAATTCCCTTTGAGCAAAAGTCCAATCTACTGGTTCTGAGGGAGTCTCTGCTGATGGAGTCTTTTCCCTTTCAGCCCGTGCTTGCTCAGGATGGTTGAAGCGGAACACGTGGTTTTTGCCCATAATAATACGATTTCCTGGACGGGCAATAAAAAGATTATGACCTAAAGGGTTTTTGTTTTTTGCTTTTTAACGAGAGAGAGCTAGCTGGGATTTGTTCAGCCATGTTATCCCCAGGCAATGAATTCTCAAGGACAGTCAAAGCCAGAAATCATAATACCCTAACTCAAAGAAAAGACGACAGACTTATGGGAAGAGCCCAAAGCAACATAGTAGAGCACACGTTCTGCATTCAAAAGGTTCTCGGTTCAATCCTTGGCATCTCCAGTAAGAAGGCTCAGGGAACAGCTCATGGGAAAGACCTCTGTTGGACAGCCATTACCAGAGAAGGTCAAGGGTAGCCAAAGTGATACCTTCCAGATATTGCTGAACTAAAACTCCCACCAGCCCCAGCTTTCATAGCCCATGGTCAGGGATGATGGGCTCCAAGTTGGAAAAGACAATATGGGGCTAGATGAGACAATAGTCTCTGAATAAAACAGCTTCCTGTATTTCTTTCATGGAGCTACACAGTTTTCAAGACACTTAAAAAGAAACAGAGTAACAAAATCCAACGTCTTTACCTGAGCGCAGCTGGACAGGATGCACAACTCTCTTGCCGTTGACATAGGTTTCAGACCGTTCACCAGGTTCCAGGGTAACAATCACTAGAACAGGAATAAATAATACTTATATCACTGTTTTACTGATGGGAGAAATGGAAGAACCTGACCCCAGAGAACTTCTCCAAGCTCCTAGGTAGGGCCTATAAAGACATTGTAAGTGTTTACAATGGCTACTAGCCCTGATGGCTATGTTCTGCCTTTGCTCTTGGAGGCAGCATGCCTCAATAACAGCTGCTGGGAATCACAGCAGGGAAGAGGACTGCTGCTGTGCTCTGGTCATTTCCAAAAGGTATCCGGTTGGACAATGGGAGACCAGGATGCTGGACAAGATGGGCCTTTAGCCTGCTCCAGCAGGGCCCTCCTTATGGTCTTATGTTGTGGGAAGGACAGGGGAGAGAAGTCTTTCCCACAGAGAAGAATATGCATATTCCAGGATTTCCACAGGAATGCCTCTTAAAATCCTTCCGAACAAGCCAGGGCAAAACCAGGGTGGAGTTTAGCTACATAATCCAGAAAAGGGCAGAGTTCAGCTAATCAGAAGTCCAAAGAGTATCTTGCTTGTCTATAAAGAGCCAGAAGATGGCAAGTACCAATATAAGTAACAACACAGGGCAAAGCAGCAGAGCGATATTTAACCAATAAGCAAGCTGCTGTCTCACCATCACCATTATGGTTTCTCTCGCTCCGGAAAATACAATGCTCCTCTTTGATGTGAGCCCCACTGAGAACGATGTCTTGACGCCGTTCAGCATCTGCCTGGCCAACCCTGCGTCCAGCAAAAAAGATTGTTTAAATTCCTTATAGCTTTAAAAAATATAAACATAGGAATCTGCAATAAACAGAGAAGCTTGTGCATGTCATACACAGCTCTGTCCTCTTCCAAAACCTTGCTGCCAGTCACTTCCTCCTCCCTGCAAGCCCCTGCTGCCTCAGGTGGCTGCCTCACTCTGCCTAAGAGTAGGGCCAACCCTGTGGACCAATGACCTGATGATCATTGCATAATTTCAGATGGATTTCATTTTCCGGCTTAGCCTGAGATTCTCTGTTTTCAGCCATTCTCACTACCCATGGCAAAGCTGAAACGGGTATTGCAAGGTAAGACTATGCTAATTATAATAGCAGTATCCTTCCCCACCCTGCTGCTCCACTCCAGGTTTAGGAGGAAAATGCCCAGCTAAGACAATCAGTCTGCTCTTCCTCTTCCAAGCTCCCCTGGCAATATTCCGCTTGGTTAAAAGCTCCTGCAACTCCAAATCTGACAATTAAACGTTAATCCCATGCATGTAAACAAGGACATGGGTAATTAAGTACGTGCTTTGTCTGACACTCAAGAGCTTAATATGACTGGATTTGCTTTGGGAGAGAAGAGAGAGACTCAAGGTGGCAGCCATCTGACTAAAAGCAGTGTTGCCTCTCACCTGGTTATGCCATCTTTGATGTAGTAAAGTAGGCACTCTGACATGAGGGGATCTTCGTTGAGGTTGACAAGGTGAGGTGTCTGAAATGAGGAAAAGCAATTAACTTAAAGATCAGGGCCTCTCTTCCACCCTGTACAACTTCTTTAAAAAGGCAACGCAGCAGCTTCAAGGTCCAAATGCAACTTCAAATTACCCTCTCTCTCCTTGGGAGAAGACAAATCATTTCTTGAACAGATGCAAACTATTTCAGTACAGAAACAGAGTGATTTCATAGGCAGAAATGCCTGCCAGCCTGTCAGCCAGCTAAGAAACATTAAATTGGAAGATCTACTCAGTGGATTTATACCATTTTTTATTTTTTTTAGTTATTTTTTATTTTTTTGCTTAACAAGGGTTAGTAAATGGCAACCACTAAAAAAAATCAGGCCCTGGAGAGCTTCTTCTTGGTCCACTAGCCGCCAACCCAAGTTTGTCCTCCTGCTCCACTTGCTCAGAAATAGAGATTTCATGTGTGTGGAAAGAGATAAAGAGAAATAAAGGATGAGAATGGGATGGAAAGTGAGCATATCAACATTACTAGCATTTCAAAGTGAGGTGCCTCCAAACAAATCTATTTGCTGACCACAGTCTCTCAGCCTCAGATTTTGTCAAGGGAAGAGGAATTTCTACCACAGGATACATTACAGAGAAGGTTAGACTATCTGGAAGCTTTTATTCTGTGTTGTATGTGAAGAAGGGGGCACTTGTACCCCATGCTTCCAAGCCATAAGAGGAAAAAATCTAGGTACTTTGCTAGACGGCTAACACTCTTACTGGAACCTAAGAGAGTTGCTACCACCACTAAACCAACCTTCTTTGGGGAAAATACCCCACTGGAATCAGCAAACAAGTCACATGGCCTTGGAGTGAAAATCTAGCCAATGGAATGCCAGCAAGCACAGACAAAAGGGAAAAACACAGAACATCAGAACAAAAACAAAACACAGAAAAATGGACATTGACACCCAGCGAACACTCTTCATAGACTCTAAGGAGCTACAACAAGCACTAAACCAACCTTCTTTGGTGAAAATAACCCATTGGAATCAGCAAGCAAGTCACATGGCCTTGGAGTGAAAATCTAGCCAGTGGAATGCCAGCAAGCACAAAGAGGAAAAACACAAAATGTCAAAACAGCAACAAAACAAAACAAAACAAAACAAAACAAAACAAAACAAAACACGAGACAGACAACAACAAAGACAAACACTCAAGATGCCAGTAACTCTAGTTCATTAACTAGTGTTCCGAGACTTCCACAGTTAAAATATGCCACCTTACAGCATAAAACGAAACTATGAGAACTCTAAGGACTGGAGGGTTCAGAATGAGGAAAAGGCCGACCACAAGCAACAAGAGTATCAGGATGGATGGGACAGGGAAAGGGATGAAGGATCAGTGTCTATTTTCTAATTCCATAGGCAGAAATCTCTACTTAAGCATCTGTTTTCTCCACCTGCACAAACCTGTTCAAGAGCAAATGCGTCAAAAGACTCATCAAACAGAGCTGATGGCCTCTGAGGGAAGATCTACATGGAGAGAGTCCAGAAAAATGAGAGGAAACAAGAGGAAAGAGAGAGCTTGAGGGGAATGGAGCAATAACCATAGTGAGAACTACTGCAAGGTCCAAAATTCCAGGAGCCCCTGAATAAGGAAACTTCATTAAGCCCCCTTGATGCAGCCGAGGCAGAATGTGCAAACCAATACTTCTTCCACACTAATTTCAAAGTCTTTTCAGCACTTCAGAAGACTAAGAAGGGATTTGCTGATGACCCTTTGGGTTCTTTGCCCATCTTGGGGCCACAGGTAAATGCCCAATTACAACAACCTCTGGAGCCTGACCTGATAAGGACCATAATTCAGTAGCACAACATCTGGCATCCATGCAAAAGGTCCCAGGTTCAATCCAAGGTATCTCCACACAGGGCTTGTCTGAGACCCTGGAGAGCCACTGCCAGTCAGTGTAAAGAATGCTGACCTAGGTGGACCGGTGGTCTGACTTGGTATAAAGAACAGCAGCTTCCTATGTTCCTATGATAAAGTTATGCATCAAACTGGCTATTGCTTCGCACAGGGTGGCCAAATATTATTTGTTTCACCTATGTGCCCTATACAAGTTTTATGAAAAGGTTCCTGAAAACCCACACATCCAGTTTCAGCACACATGAACTTCAAGACATTTTGAAATTTACCGGTAGCACTGGTAAACTTTTGCTCAAGTTCTGCTCCAAAGGTTGGCAGAACAGTGATAAGACCTATAATTTACTGCATCCAACCAGACTAGGAGCAGGGTTAGAAATTCTCCGGGAGCCAGGCATGTTTTGCAACTGGCACAGGTCCAACTGCAACCATGTGGCCTCTCCGGTTTTCTTAAGCAAGTAAGCAGAATAACTCTTTATTGCATTTATATCCCACCTTTTTCTCCAAGGAGTACATGGTTCATCACTCTCTTCAGTTAACCTATCTCACAGGGTCATTGTAGGGATTAAGAGGCTGTGACTGGCCCAAGGTCACCCAGTGAGATTCATGACTCAGTGGGGATATGAACCCTGATTCCCAGGTCCTAGTCTGACTGTTTAACCACTCCACCATACTGGCCTTCTACTTCTTAGAGTACTTCTGCTATAGGGAAACTATATTCAGCGCTTTCCCCCCCTAAAAAAATGTTTAGGGGCACTCCCATTTTGACTCAAGAAAATCACATTTTATAGTTCAAATCAGGAAAAATAAAGTAAATGGACAAAAGTACAAAGATTCACAAAATGTTTAGAGGTATGCATACCCCTGTGTCCCCCCAGAAAAAAGCACTGACTATGGTGCTGTGGGTTAAACCACAGAGCCTAGGACTTGCCGATCAGAAGGTCGGCGGTTCGAATCCCTGCGATGGGGTGAGCTCTTGTTGTTCGGTCCCAGCTCCTGCCCACTTAGCAGTTCAAAAGCACATCAAGTGCAAGTAGATAAATAGGTACCGCTCTGGCAGGAAGGTAAACGGCGTTTCCGTGCACTGCTCTGGTTCGCCAGAAGCAGCTTAGTCATGATGGCCACATGACCCCGAAGCTGTCTGCGGACAAAACGCCAGCTCCCTCGGCCTATAGAGTGAGATGAGCGCACAACCCCAGAGTCGTCCGTGACTGGACCTAACGGTCAGGGGTACCTTTACCTTTAAACCACTTTGAGATTTTGTCTTTAAATAATGAATGAAATTAATAATAGTAATAGTAATACTGATAACTGATAATAATAATCTTAAGGGGGAGGGGAATGGCACCTAGAAATTCTATTGTGGCGACCGTAACCCAAGTTTAAGGTGCCATTTGGTGATTGGCTTATATATCTGAGTTTCTAACACTGGGTAGGAGCCAAAATCCATTCTAAAAAGCCCAGCAATGGGCAGTCTTTACAAAACAATTCAACAGCATAGATGTACCTTTTTAGGTGAGAAAACACCAAGGGTTCCTCCATCTTCTCGAATGGCGACTCCCATCTCAGCCAGCAAAGCCTCTCTATGAAGGAGGGAAAAGAGATATCACTGAATTATATTTATAATTCAAGCTTCAAAACAGGGAGGGAATGAGAGCTCGTAATCATAAAATACAAGGTTAATAATCATGACATACAGTTGTGATGGGACATATTATTTCAGTACTTTCTGCAGTGGCTGGCGGTGGCTTTCCAGGATTTCAGGCAGGAGATGCTCTCAGCCCTGTCTGGAGATGTCAGGGAGTGAACCTGGTACCTTCGGCATGCAAAGCATCTGCTCTGCCACTGATCTACAACCCTCCCTCTGGCAGATTCACTTACTGAAGGTCGTAGTTCGATGACAGTGCATTCCAATTTGTGCAACAAGGAAATTTTTGACCCAAGGTCTCCTTCAACCCTAGGATAACCTAAACAGGCAAAGCTGTATTAAGATTTAGGGCAATGGTGGGGAACCTGTGGCATTCTGAATATTGCTGTAGCTCCCATCTGCTCCAGCAGAGTACAGTTCAGGGATGATGGGAGTGGAGGTCCAACAATGTCTGTGGGGCCAAAGGTTCACACACACACACCCCTGGTTTAGAGCCATTTATTTTTACTATGGCAAAACCATTTGGAAATCCACCATTCTCTACGTGTCTCTATGCTACACTCTCTCTAGCTCTCCGGACAGATTTCCCATTTCTAGTTGTGACATTTGAACCTTCTCTCCTCCGCGGTTACCTGTCTTTTTAGTCTCCCTTTCTTTGCTTCCTCCCTCATGCTCTTTTATCTCCTCCTGTTGTTTCAGGCACTTTGACCATGTAACTCCTCACCCCATTTCCTACAATATGGTGGGTGAGGGTTAGACATACTTTTGAGGGTTTTTATTAGAATCTCATGCTTCAACAAAAGCCCAGCGCAAAATAGCAGCATGAAGGGTGGAAGCAGACAACTCTCAAGTAGGTAATGACCAGGGTGCCTCTGAACACCTGCTCAGCTCAGGAAATGGTTCCTTGGGCCAGAGCTGAGCTCAAAGTCATTTCACATCAAAATACACTCCTGATGCCTGTCACATAAACAGCTTCATTTGTTAAAGTAAATGAATTTAAGGCATAAAACAAACACGCACAAAGTTGAGGTTACTATAGTTAAAAACAACCAGAAATCCTTGGCTAATCTACTCCAAACGACCCAGAGATCCCCCAATAGATCCTGATCTACCATTCTTCTACCCCTGTCTCACACTATATGTCTCACACCACCCTCTCACATGCTGTACGCCAAGCCTGTTAATATCTCTCAAATCCTTCAGCAACAAAGCCATTTCTGCAGAACTCTGGTCTTAACCAGGTCTGTTAGGTCCTTTACTGTGACTATTCCTCTACTCCTTTTTAGTAAAAGTCCTCTCCCTTTCCAATGAGGTTTAGCTGCAATCCTGCCCTCATATGGCTTAAGATCCTCCAAGCAAATATAGATTGTGGTTTATGTATGTGCCAACCTCTCCATCCTAATCGCCTCTGTCTTCCGCAGTTTCTCCTCCCATGTCTCATTCAGCTCTGCAATGATCTTCTCAGATTCCTGTAAAAAAGTCCAACAGAGAATTAGAGGTATGTACAAGGAAGCTACATCTAAATACCCATTTCTCACTAGCCTACTTGATGAAACAAGTTTTTACATTTAGCTAAATCTAAAAATGAAACAGAAGGATAAAATGAATAGGAAGATATTGAGCAGCAAATACAGTGATCAACTTGTAATCTAGAGTCTTGGGTCAAATCCTCCATCTAATGAAGGATGAATTGGGCCTTGGAGCACCTTTACAAGATATGTTTTGTATGCCACCTAGAGAATTTTACAGATGGGTGGCCATATAATCTAATAGGAAATACTGCTTATGAGGCTGGCAAATTTTAAGAGCACCTGACCATGCTACCAAATCTGCTTGTGTTAGAAGTCCTGAGAGGTCTGGTACAACAGAACTTGCTAAGAAGGTGCCAAATTTGCAGGAATATCATCTGATACAACAGAACTTTTCAAGTGGGTGCTACGTTTGCTTATCATGGAATGGATCACTTCCTGTTTCTTCCCCAGGCAGATGCACACACTTGTGCACGTACATAAGTACAAATATGCTTTCACAAAGGAACCTGGTTTGCATGTCACGACGAGCCAAACCATGGCCTAATATGAACATGCAAAATCCAGGAGAGCCAACCATGGTCACTCCCCCGCACCCTGGTCATTTTGCTGCTGTGTCATGTTGAGCTACACTACTATTTAGCTTAATGCTGTTGATGCTTGACTCCTCTCTCCAGCAGCCAAATGGTGCCAATATCTTCAAGAACCCGTAAGGCAGGGATGAGAAACATCAGGCCTGAGGGCCAAATGTGCCCCCCCCCCAGCCTCACTACCCAGCCTTCAGGACTCTGCCCAAGCCATGTCCTGGTCTATGCCCAATTAACTGATAATGCCTCTGACCTGCTTGGATGGAGAGAGGTGTGTGGAATGTGCATATAGAAACCTCTCTGCCTTTTTTGCACAGTAGAAATGGAGCCTGTTGTACAGATGTAAGGGTCATATCCTTTGCTCCTCCCACTTTTTCCTCCAGACTTGCCCACCACTGGCATATGGTCCCCAGGAAGTAATACAGAAGGAAATGTGCCATTCTGGCTAGGTGACAAGTTCTCCACAATAAGGCAAGGTGGAATATAAACCACTGAAGAGCCTTCAAGGAACACCATGCAGGTCCAACACCAATATTACTCCAGAATTCTGATTTCCGCCCCCCTTCAACAGCAAGTCTGGCAACTTGTGCACAAATGGTCGTTTGTTCCCACAGCAACTGGGGGGAGGGGAGGGAATGTTTCTCCCACTCTCATTCCCCTTTGGAAAAGACAAATATCAGGGCTGTTTTTCTGCTGTGGAAGCTTACTCTAAGAGCCAAGAAAACAGAGGAAGAAGTAAAAAAGGCCGGGGGGGGGAGTTTCTGTAAAAAGGGAGAGACTGGAATCCCTTGTAACAGGAAACACACTCTTATTTATCAATGCCCCAGTGGGGCTAGAGATGATTTGCTCATTTCCACATCTCTATTTGCTTGTCGTTTTGAAGCTCATGATGCCCTCAGTCATTAACTTGTCAGAAGATGCTGCTTTGCCAAGCTGCTTCCATCCTCCCGTTCCCCTTCAAAATGCCAGAGATGTTGCCTTGAATGCTGATGAAGGGGGAAGACTCACAGGCAGGCCAGCCCAGACATTAAGTTGGGGGGGGGAGAGGGGTAATATGTTTGAAGACGCCACTTTATGACAGAGCGCCAGGCAAATGCAGAGACGGCACTGTTATCTCCATGTCAACGGCATTTTTGTAAAAAGTGCAATGTGCGTGCTAGTCCATCCAAATTGCCCTGGCAGCTTTTCAAATACGGGAAGAGGAAAAGAAGGAAAAAAGGAGGAGGGGTAGGCAGTATTTAAATTCACAACATTAACCCGCCTGCTGCTTCACATGCCCAACCGTGGGGGAGGAGAGGGAGGCTTTGGTAAAAGCCGAAAGATTGCTGCTGTGCCCTTTTGATGCTGTTCCATAGACAAAAGCCTCCATTGTCCATGTATGGGGGGTGGGGGCAGGCATTCTGTGAGCACTTCACATTTGTAATCTCCCTTCACATTTGTAATCTCCAGGGTCCAGGTCTTGGTGCTCCGTTTTCCAATGTGACACTTCCAGGAAAGACTGAATTATTATTGCTGAAATAAACTCTTCATTTTCTCAGCTCAACTGAACATGGAAATATATTTGTAAGTCTGCCACTCAACCAGAGGCTTTACATGCCAGTATCCTTATTTTATAGGAAGGCAAGCAAGAACATCCCAATAAAAGGCCAAGGATTTCAATCTTCATCCCACACAGGCACACTAGCCCTGTTTGCAAAAATAAAAAATGCTTAAGGAGGCATATGCCACCTTCATCTGCATTGCAGGCACTGGGCTAGATGGCCTTTTGGGTTTCCAAATGTTCATTGCCATAAAAATGTAATCTCAACCAAAGGATGCACATATTGGGGAAGTGCTGTAGCTCAGATGTAGAGCATCTGCCTTGCACACAGAAAGTCCTAGGTTCAATCCCCAATGGCATCTCCAGGTCGGGCAGGGAAAAGACCCTTGTCTGAAACCCTTGAAAGCCTGTAGACAATACTAAGTGGGATGGACCAATGGTCTGATTCAGTACAAGGCAGCCTCCTATGTTCCACAGGACATTCACAATCCCTACTGCAGTTCTGATGTCGGTGCTCGTGGCTAACTTGGTCCAGGCATTTAAAAACTGTCCCATATACCATGCTGGTTGAATTGGTTTTGAGTTCTGGCATTTTGGTCATGCTCTCTCTCACTGGGTGCCATATTGTTAGCCTGACAAAGAAGCAGCACTGAGGCCTTCTTGAAACAGGGTCTCTGCATGGTCCCAGAGTACAATCAGAAGGTATAGGAAGCCACAAATTTGAGCAGATCTGGATCTGCCCTGTCCAGGACCTCTTTGGAACCTGACATCCATCCTCTCAAAAGCCGCGGTGGAAGGAAAGCAGGATACAACAATGCAACACACTCGTAGTCCTCAATGCACAGCCCATGCTTAGCAAGTTGGCTCCATTCAGAATTTATGGCTTTGTTAAGAGACACTTTAGATGATCAAGGAATTTCCATACAAATTTGCTTTAGGAATGAATGGATTTTAAGCACCCATAAGAAACTAAATGTTAAGAGATCCATCTAGCCCAGCATCCCATTACCAAGCATAGTAGCTAACCAGATGCCTTCAGGAAATCCACAAGGAGTCACTATCTCTCTCCAGTGTTTGCTCCCCAGTAATCGGTATTCAGTGGCACACTGTCATCAGATCTACAAGTCACACAGAATAACCATGGATAGCTTTATTTTCCCATGCATTAGTCTGATCAACATGGAAAGATACCAAGCCAGTGGGGATCATGACATCTTGTGGCCGCTATTGCCATTAATTTGTTAAGTATCGTGTCATGGACTTTCCTTTGTCTGCCCCAGATCTCCTGCCAATTGATCAATTTCATTGGATGACCCTGAGTTTTACTATGGTGTGGTGGGGAGAGAGAAAAATCTCTTTATCCACTACTCTCCCCCCGCACTTCTACTTGAAGTCCACGACTTGGCTCCTCAGTTTTAGTTGTATGATTTTGACATAGCCAGGACTGCACCAATTTCAAATCTTCCCAACCATTAGATGGCTGTTGCGTTAGCATTTACCAAAAGGAATGAGTTCACCTTGCAAGTACCACTAATGTATTTGTTTTGCTCTCTTTGGAAATATGCAAACTACACCCAGGAATGCTTTTGGAGACAAAGTGAGATACCAGCAACGTCCTGCAAGCAGCAGCAAGTATTCAGTCAATGATGAAAAGCAATCATTTAAACCACTCTTGCCGAACCCACAACTGTGTGTACGATTAAAAGGGGGGTTTCTATTAATTTTGACAAGTTAATGATTCCGGGCAGTGTGGAGTTTTCATTTTTATTAAATTGTTGTTCTGCCCCTTTCCTAGGAGCTCAAGGCAGCAGAGATGGTTGTATCTCCCATTCGCTCCACCTCACAACAATCTTGCTGCAAGGTAGGTTAGGCTCAAAGACGAGAGCGGCTCACCAGAAAAGGTGACTAGGGCTTCCTCAACTCTAGTCCAGCACTCTAACCAAATGAAAGTTTTGGCAAAGAACTTAATCAATTAATATATAAGCAACTATGCTAATAAGTAAGTCTGAATATCCTAGCATACATCACACAATTCATTCTGCATTTGAAAAGGGAGGAGTGAGTGGATCTTCCTGCTAATGAATGTTCTGCTTAGCTCCTGTCCTCGCCAAGCTACTGAGATTTCACTAGCACTGACCAAATATCTCTCAAGTTTTAAGAAGAAAGGAATTGAGGTCCCCTCTCCCCACAATGAAAGCTCGTTCTTCTTCCAGGCCTGTGCTCTAGTTTTGTGTTGGAAGGCTACAGGATATACCCCATGTCGTTAACTGTGCACAGAACCAAACAGGCACAACCCCAAATGTATAGATCAAACACATGGCAAATACTGAAGTAAGGAGGATGGCCACAGTGGAACTTCCCCATTACTCAGAAACCTTTGCTCTGGATTACTGAGACTGATACTTCTGGGGTCCTGATGCTTACCTACATGTAAGGCATATGAGGAGGGAGGACATGTCCTACCTTCAAACGTTCAATGGCTTCCTCTCCTCCAGGCGTAGACATGATCCGTTCTTGGATACTGGAGACTGACGTTAAGCCCACCTGACTGCTGAGAGAGCAGGAAGATGGGGATGCAGTGAGGGAGCCCATGGATGCTGTGGAAAAATGGCCAGGACGTTGATTCTCTGATGCTAGCAAGTATCTGTGTTTATTGTTCTGAAAATCTTTCAGATCTGAGAGAGAGAAGGAAGGGAGGGAGGGAGGCAGCAGACAGGAGGGGAGGCAGAAATACAGGGATGGAGAGAGGAGAGACCAAGGAGAGAAGAGCAGAAAAAAGGAAGGGAGGGAGGAAAAACAGGAAGGAGACACCCGTATAAGAAAGGTAGCACACAAGCAGCAACAGAGACAGGTTTAATAGGACTAGATGGCAGTTCTGAAACAGATGTCCTTCCAAGAAGCTTTGCCTGTTTATTACACTCATTTGGCATGGCCCTGAATCAGGTGCCTCCTCACTTGATGGGTGGTTGGAATCCATGAGGGGTAGGATCTTTTTCAAGGGTGGCACCCCGGTTTGGGACTGTTCTTATGAGGCGTGCACGTGCTCTTTAAGAGCTAATCGTCCCTCACCACTAGCAATGCCAGCCTAGCAAGATGGACCAATGGATCTGATTCAGTGTAAGGTGGCTTCCTGTGTCCCTATGGGCTAGATGGGCCATTGGCAGCTTCATATGCTGGTTCTTCCACTAATGACCAGACCAGGCTGTGACATAGGGACTTGCATGCATCTTTGGATAGGATGGGTTTCAGGAAGGAAGAACTCATGTTTGGGCACTTCCTCCTTCTTCAGCCTATGCTTAACAGGTCAAATATGTACAGAGTACAACAAGTAAGTTGTGTTTTTTAAATAAGATGTGGGGTGAGTTTTAATTTGGTTTGAAAACTGCCATCTATAAATACGGAAAAGAGCAGGGAGGGTGCAAAGAGAGGAAAGATTCGGGAACAAGAGAGCCGCCAGGATTCGGCAAGCGGGCAGGGCAAAGATGGAGCTGACCAGACCTCCTGTGGAATAACTCATGCGTTCACAGCGGGGCGGGAGGGGGGACGATAGGGGGAGACAGGAGTTGCACTTGCTGCGACTGCTGCACAGCTTGCACAGAGCATCATCGCACCCGTGCGCCATGCATGGTTCTCCCTCCATGATGCTGCAGCTGCTGGTGCTCAAGGCAGAGTTAAAAGCCGGCAAGCTGGAAGCAGCATTAATTAAAAAAAATAAAAATTTAAAAGAGAGAGCGAGAGAAAAAATGCCCCAAAGCAAGAGCACTCTGGAAAAATTTACCATGCCAAGTATCAGAGTTCAAGGAAATTCCAGACAGATCTCTCTCATCCACCATGTTATTTTCTTCATTTAGGAATGGCAGGAGTAACGGGCAAGACTGCAACTCAAGACGAGAGTATCTGATACATATGTGTGTTTGTGAGTGTGTGTGTGTGTGCTTGTATGTGTAAGTATGTGTACAAACACAAACACAACACCCTAGTCTTCTGATTGTCAATTGTTTAAAATGACATCAATAATAATAATTTATTTGTATCCCACACATCTAACTGGGTTGCCCCAGCCACGCTGGGTGGTTTCCAGCACATATAAAAATAAAACATTAAACCTTAAAAAGCGTTGCTATACAGGGCTGCCATCAAATGTTTCCTAAATGTTATATAATTACTCATCTCCTTAACATCTGATGGGAGGGCATTCCACTGGGAGGGCGCCACTACCGATAAGGCCCTCTGTCTGGTTCCCTGTAGCTTCACTTCTCGCAGTGTGGAAACCACCATAAGACCCTCAGTGCTGAATCTCAGACTATATATTATATTGCTGTAACCTGTCCTGGGACCTCTGTTGAAGGGTGGGTAAAAAAACCCCCTCTAATAGTAGTCTATTTGGGGGGGGCACTTTGTCTGTCCGTCTAGCTGTTCTCTATGTGTCTGGGCACATCTTAAGATATCATAGCCAATTTTTGCATGATGATTCTGCATGATGATGAGATCATGGTTGTGTCTACGTTTGGACACAATTGAATGCCCTTTTGAATGAAGATATTAGGCAGATATCAGACAGTACTGCATTGTGCTGTTCTTTGTTTCTTAGAATTCCATAGTAGTGTTGGGTGCAAGCTGCTAGTAATTGATTAATTAGTATTATAACCACGGCTTTTTTCAGCCAGAACTTGCGGGAACTTAGTTCCAGCACATCTCAGGTGGGCTCCATTGCCATTGTAAGAGAACAAGGGAGGCGTTCTTGAGTTCCAGCACCTCTTTTTCTAGAAAAATAGCACTGATTATATCCAATGTTAGTTCTACTCAGAACAGACCCCTGAAGTTCATGGACACAACTAACTTAGGTTTGCTAAATTCAGTGGGTCAACTCTGAGTATAACATAGTTGGGCTTATATTGTAAATCACCCTGTAATCTTCGAATGAAGGGTGGTATAAAAATGTAATAAGCAAATAATACTAATAATACTAATAATAATAATAATAATACAACCCTAAATAAAGAAATACTATTTGGGCTAAGCCACCAGTGCTCCCCATTCCCTAAGGGAATTTTTAAAACCCATCACACTGGTGGAATCAACTCAAGTCACCTCAATTGCATCTTGTAAACGCAGAGGCCTTTTGCATGGTGGTTTGAATCCAACTCAGGACTAGGCCTACTTAAATCAACAGATATGCCTAACTTCAGTCATCTGAATACGTTTGGCACTGGATATAGCCCTCTATCTGAGATTAAGATGGCATCTTAATGTTTGCCCTTGCGTTTCCAGGAAAATCCAATTCAAATTCCCACGTATATTTGAAAGTTATAAAACAAGGAAAGGTTTTCTTTCCCTAAGAGATATACGACAGTAAGGAAAGAAGTGCTGCCTTAATGAATCATATTCGTTATATATCCAGTTACCTCATTATCATTGGGTATGGTTCTATTTTTAAATGTGAGAAATATCTTTTCATGGGGATTGGGATGGGAGAGGAGTGGAGGGGAAAGAGGAACACTTGGGGTGGGGGCGGTCCTGAGTGATAATAAACTGAAAAGTGCCAATTCCAGCCCTCTTCAGCTGGCAGTGCACTTACAGTTTAAAATGAAATTTAAAAAATTCAGTATCTGTTCATGTTTTCTTTTTTCAAAAACCAAAACAAAATGCCACCATCTTTCTTCATTTGTTGCCATAAATTGCATACTTTTATCAAAGTTATGGTCTCAAATCCTGTTAATTCAAACCCACTCTAGTGCCACGCTGTTATCACTCCTTAAAATACAAGCTTTGAGTTTGCGCTCTGCCCAAAAGCAGCCTGAAAAATTGAAGTGGTTGGCAAGGGGCCAGGTTCCACAGAAAGAGATTGGGTTCCATGCTGCTAATGTTGGTTTTTAAAAGGTTCTGCCTGGGATTTCCCTGCAAGGAACAGCATGTAAAGCTTGCTTGAAAGCTGGCCCAGCAAAAGCCAAAAAGGGTTAGAAAGGTTACTAATTCCACAGTACACACATTTGCCTCCACTTCCAGAGAAATCGTCCAATGCATCAACTGGAGGAAGGAAGTTTAGAAGGGAAGATACAAGAAGGGTAAAATATCTAGGATTAATAGTTGACACAGGAAAGGGAAGCAAAGCCCAGGCACTGGATACAAAGAAAACATCAGATTCTCAAATACAACACAAATAATCTATCTAGTTTTGTCACAATCAGGGAAGGGGGGGGGAATCTCAAAAAATCTAATGCTGTTTGTTTCACAGCCTTTTCTTCTTTCATCCATTCTTTTCAAGGCAAAGGCATGCAATGCATACAGATTGTGGCCTCATTAAGCGTGATTAAGTCAGAATGTCTCTTGGCAGACAAATAAGCACCCACAGCCCAAAAGGCCAAAGCTCAACATCAATTCTTAAAGTCAGAGTTACTTCAAATGGATTCACAAATACACTGATCTCTTATTTTAAAAGTTTCCTTCCTCCCCCCTCAACCCCTCGGGAGAAATAAGTAGACATTTTTTACAAATGCCCTGCCACCCACATTGTAAAAACAGTCATCCTTAGCCAAACAGAGACCAAATTCTTACATTCCTGGTGCTTTGTGTGGTTGCCAAATCCCATTGCTGAATGTCATGGCAACCTCTGAGCAGTGAAAAGAAACAACAAGATCATGCTAAGCAGGAGCGATTCATGTTCTGGGATGGAACCACTCTCTCAACACTGATGGGAGTGTTGGGAGGGTGGTTCCACCCCAGATCATGAATTGCTCCCCACCACATAGGCTAGTACAGCCCCTTCCTCAGTAGATTCACTGAAATTAGCAGACATGACTAAGGTCAATTAATTTCAATGGGACTACTGCCTGTGGGACTTGGTTGGATATAGACCTATGTTTGCTTATATTGATCTGCTTGATTTATTTTCTATTGTTTTCATTTTTTTTGTCATTTGCACACCACCCGATGTATTCATACGATGGTGTAGTATACAAATTGAACAAATAAGTAAACAAATAAATAAATGGTTATTTTCATTGTGGCCAGGACGTGGGGAATGCCAACCTCACTATGTTGTGAGGTGGATAAAAAGCTCTTGGAAGATTGTTCCTTGGGGGTGGGGGGTGTTTTTAATATTTTCACCATGTAACAATGGAAAAGGCATTCCCAGAAACCCAATCCTCTGCAGCCGTTTGTCTTTCCAAGCAAGAGACAAGAGTTGCTTCGCTTGCATACACCATCTACTGGATAAGTTGCTGCTAGCTGTTGTGGCTGTGTGCTTTCAGTGCCTCTGAATTCCAGCTGCTGGGAATCACAAGTGAGGAAAGCACTGTTGCACTCAGGTCATGTTTGCAAGCCTTCCAGAGGCTAGGCCATCGTAAGAACAGAATATGAACTTTGACCTGATCCAGCAGAGCTCTTCTTATGTTCCTACTTTGTTGGAGTTTTTTGTTTTGTTTTTTACATTACTGTGCTCTGTGGGTAGGCAGTGAGGAATCAGATATCCAATAAAGGGGTTTGAAAACCAGGTTGCTTGTTCTGTGCCAAAATCATCCATACGTAGCCATAAGAGCTTAGCTGCTCCAACCTCTCAGCCAAAACTTAGGGCAAAGAAAATGGAATCTGAATTCATTTGCTTTGGCAGGGGCCCTGAAATGGAAGGCAGTTGGAGTGGAAACTGACAGCCTGAAGATACTGTTGGGACGGAGAGCTGGAAGGCAAGTGAGGGGGGGGGGGTCGATGGAAGAAATGACTGCAGTTGGCCCAGCTTTAGCTCACTTCCTGCAGTGGGACCCATTTGCTGGGAGCCCCCGCATTCACCGTTAACGGGTAGGAAAATATGTATAAACTTCCCAGAAAGATGGAAGACTATACAGAACACCACTCGGCAAAACTGTTGGCATCGCTGCTAGCCTGGAAAGGCTCCACACAGAATTCGAGTTTGAAGCAAATGCTGCTGATGAAGTTGAGATTGTGGGATTGCCAAATCCATGAACTTGGTTCCATTCTTCCCCTGCTGTGCTCCTCAGTCTTTCGAATCCACCAAAGTGCCTGGATTTCCCAGTCTGCCACCCCCAGCTCCGAAGCTGAGTAAGAGGGTTATCTCCCACAGCAAGGCCCGGAGCTTGAATCTGTATAATCCACTTACTGTCAATAATGTCTCCGAGCCCTTGAGCACGGAGGAGGTCCTTGAGCCGTGTCACTTCCTCCTTCAACTCCCGCACCAGCTTGGCGTTGGGATCCTCATTGATAACAGCATTGCATTTGATCTGCTTTGCCCGATCAGCGTATCTGGAAAGACAGGTGTAGGGTTAGTTCATTTTAAAACACACACACACACACACACACACACACACACACACCACCACCACCACCACCACAACTCTGCCACATATCTAAAGGTCAAATCTGAGCAATGTGCAAGAGCCTTAGCTGATACCACTTTCTATGACATAGTTATTCCCCTCTGGGAAAGGGAAGCAGCTCAGTGGTCTCAGGTTCAATCCCTGGCATCTCTGGGTAGGGCTGGGAATGTCCCATACCTGATATCCTAAAGACCTGCCATCAGTCAGTGTAGACAATCCTAAACTAGATGAACCAATGGTCTGACTTGGTATAAGGCAACTTCCTATTCATGGTTCACTTCCTCTCACCGCATGTAATTTTTAAGGAGTTTAAACAGTCTTCATATGATTCTGCTGAACTTCCTTACACTACCACAACTAACTAAGGTGAGTAGAGTAAGAGAGACCAGAATCAACCTCCATTTCATATTTCCATGCTACAAACAAGGGAACTAGATGGGAAAGCACCATTTTGACACCACGTTCAATACCTTAAAGTGCTTAGTGTTTCATCGTAGTTTATGTCTGCTGGGCTCAGAGCAGCCACCATGGCTGTTCTTGAGTTGCCACCTATGAAGCAAAAAAGGGTATCCAATTAAACAGGAGTCAAAGTTGACTGCTAACAGCACTAATGACAGACTGAGTCACAAATCCAGGCTCCACAGCCAAGGCATTGGAAGGTCAACAAGAGATTAAACTAAAAAAAACACAAAAACAAAACACACAAAAAACACAAAAAACCAACAAGAGATTAAACTGGCTCTTTTAAAGATCCTAAACAAAAAAAAATCCTTCCAGTAGCACCTTAAAGACCAACTAAGTTAGTTCTTGGTATGAGCTTTCGTGTGCATGCACACTTCTTCAGATACACAGTGTGTATCTGAAGAAGTGTGCATGCACACGAAAGCTCATACCAAGAACTAACTTAGTTGGTCTTTAAGGTGCTACTGGAAGGAATTTTTTTTGTTTTGACTATGGCAGACCAACACGGCTACCTATCTGTAACTTAAAGATCCTAAATGCTTTTATTTAGGATCAATATACAATATACAAAGCATATACAAAGCATACATATAAGTGGGGAAATTATATTTTAGGGTTGTATCCAACCTGGTTCTACTAATAGCAGACCCACTGAAGTTCATGGACCTAAATTAGACATAGCCATTAATTTCAGTGTGTCTACTCTGAGTAGGACTAGTATTGGATATAATCCTAAATCTAACCTTCAGGTATCTTTTTCCCCTCAGAACAATGAAGACCAGAAACCTGCTTTTTAACCTCCAAATAATATATATCAAAGGTGTTGGTCATACAACAGGAAGTCTTGTATAATTGCAAAGAGAAATAAATTTATAACGGCATAAGCTTTCGTGGAATAGTGTCCACTTCATTAGATGCAGCCACAGTGTACAATATTGAACCTTGGAAATACCACAGAGGTGGGGATACTGTGGCTTTCCACTCCAATTCTCATCCGTCCCAGCCAGCATGGCCAATGATGAGGAATGATGGGGATTGTACTTCAGTAACACCTGGGAAGAGCACAGGACCCCCATGCCTAGACTGAAGGCTCTTGGGAACTAGAAGCACCATCCAAAAAGGAGGCTCCCTGCTGTATCTCTGCATGGAACCTGTGGCCCTCCAGATGTTTGTTGGACTCCACTTCCCCAGCCAGCACAACCCCAGCCAGCACAGCCAACTGTCAAAGGTAACACAGGGAGTTGTAGCCTAGCAACATCTGGTGGGCCAAAGGTTCCCCACCCCAAAATACCAAGTGTAAAACAATGAAAGGTAATTACTAATTAGCAGGGAACTAATAAAAGGTGGGAAAAGATTCTGCTATGTCAACATACCTAGGTTTTCCCGAAGCAGCCACGTCAGCACAGAATCCCTGTATGGAATAAAATCAGTCTTCTTTTTCTTCTTACTCTGCAAGAGGACATTAGCATTTAAAAGCCAGTTGCCACACACAAAAAAGGAAGTCTGCACAAAGTTGTGTGCACACGTTTTCCTGAACCTTTCAAGAAGCAACATCTGAAGGCATGTTTTTGCCAAGATAATCTCACAATGAAACAAAAGCTTCAGGAAGCAAGTGCATACTAGAGTTAAAGCTACAATGTTTTAGTCAATTGGTTAGACTAAACAGATATTAAAAACTATCATTAAACAATTAGGCAGAAGAGTTTTACAGGGAGGGTTGAATGCTTCTAAGAAGGCAACTGCTGAAATTAATGTGTGTGTTTTTAATATATTCCTAACAGTCATCAAGGTGGGCAGCTAAAATGCTACATACCATCTTACCCAAGTTATAAGACATCTTAAAATGGGGGGGGGGGACAAAGCAAGGAGAGGATTCAGAGCTGGGATCTCATGAACTACTTTCATCCTGCCTGAGTGCTTTAGCACACCCAGTGGGATTTTTTATTTCTCATTCTTCAAGCAGCATTCTTCCTTGCTGTGTAGCAAAGAGATTTCAAAAAGTGGCTTGTCTTGTAGTACGTTGGGCTCCTGTCATGGAAGCATAAGCCTAGAAAGTTGCACATGTGCATGAACAACCCCTGCCAGTCTTTGGATCGTGACCAGGACATTTCAAGTTGAAACAGATGTGGTCAACTGGCAGCCGCTATGCCCCATCAAGCCCCACAACAAAAATTCTCACTACAAAACATTTCCCCATTGTTTTGCACACACGGAAAATGCTTCTGCGTTGCAGCACAAAGAAGGGTGCATCCAATGCTGGGAACCCATTGAAATGAATTGACATGGCAAACTTGAATCCATACATTTCAACGGGTTTGCTCTGAGTAAAACATGCTCTGATTCCACACATACTTGTATTATTATTTTCTGGCTTTGCCTGAAATCACATACGCTGTAAGAGTGAAGCACCTGTTAGCAACCACCATTACTACAGAACCTGACTGATCAACAAATGCCACCCCCCAGCCACTTTCTGAAGATAATATCTTCCACTCTACCAAGAGAACAGAAAGTTGTCCACCCACTGAGTTAAATCGACTGTGCAGATGAAATAATTGCAGACAGGATAGAAAACTAAGAAGCTAAATATAGCAACATGTGAAACAACATTGTAAGTTGTATAGTTTATCCTCGAATGAAGGGTGATATATAAATTAAATAAATAATAAATAGGTAAATAAAATAAAAGTCCATGAAATTCAGGGAGAAAGGTTAGGCTGGAATCCTTCGAATCGACACACTGGGCTTCTACATGCAATGTGTTTTTGCTTTCTAAAAAAAGGGGGGCGGTGGCTCAACTACACTCCCAAGTGGTACAACCTAGATATAAGTTGACCACCTCAGTAAAAACCAAAGCTACGAAGTTAATCCAAAGAGACTCTGGATATTTCCACAACACTCTGCAAGCTTGAAGCCAGACATATTTGGAGTACGGCACTAAGATTAGATCAACGGTATTCTGTTTTATTTAGAAATTAATTTTCAGCAAGCCAAGAAGCATCATCAGCTGAATTATATTTGTGCTTACATACCGCTGGGCTTTTACCTAAGAAAGGATAACAGCCACCAATGAAGTGGGTACAGACAGATGGAAGAGCATTTAAAATTACTGAAGGGGATGGGATGGGGAGAGATTACTGAGGACAGAGAGAGGTCAGAAAGCCTTAGCTAGCAAAATTAGACTAGAGAGGTCCAATTCTATGTTGCCTCCCACCCACCCACACTAATCTTGTACCTGGTTGAAGATTAGAAGGATTTAGGAAGTGTTCACAGGAAAACACAGACAGACACTGTCAGGAAGGAAACAGCTATGAAGCAGTCTGTGTAAATTTTGGCACAGTGCAGCGTGAGAGGTGCTCCTGAACGTGGGTTCAAGTCCTACTTTTGGCACAGGACTGAAACAGATGCTACGCAGGAAACACCCACACCCAAAAACTCCTTCCCACATGCACTTTTTAAAAGCAGCTGTGCTCGTGAATTAAGAATCCTTCCCTTGGGCTACAAGGGAATGATCTAGGAGAACCCAAGGCTGAAGCAAAGCATTTGTAGACCTGGTCACTCTTGGATGGGAGACCACAGCAAATGCCATCTGACTTTTAGGCAAAGCAGCAGAGATGGGAAAGGAAAGAGCAGGCCTAATCAGAAGTCAGTTTCAATTGCATCCATCTGAATGTTTCCATTGCAAAAACTTCAAATGTAAAGCAGCAACCTCAGCAATGCATTATTGCATGCAAACCACCCTAACACACAAGCAGCTCAGCAAATGCCCCTTCTTACTCATTTGAGAGCCAACAGTGGGAGAGAGAAGAGTGCAGACTCCCAGGTTTTAATGGCAAAGAAGAGTTAGTCGGGCATAAACTCTGCTCTCCCTGGTTGGTGGGAACCAGAAGCTTTAAAGGCAGGGAGGTGGGAAGTTCTGTGGTCCTTCAGGTGTTGCTACACTCCATCTCCAATCAGCCTGGCCAACATGGCCAATGGTCAGAAGTGGTGGGAGATGGGAACCCAACAACACCTAGAGGACCACTACTTCCCCTGGTCTAAAGTTTTGTTTCAGAAGAAGCAGCAATAAGTAAGTGCATGTTACTTGTACTGCTAAAGAAAGGGAAAACCAAGTTAGTTACAACAGGAGCAGGGATCCACTTTGTGCTCTTGTGAATCAATACTCCTTTCCCTTGAGGTCCAGAGAGTGATCTAGAGGGACCCAATGCTGAAGCAAAGAATTTGTAGACCTGGCTAATCCCTTGGATGGGAGACCACAGCAAACACCATCTTAGAGAAAGATGGAAGTATAGGATTTTTTAAAAATAAAAATAAATCAGACTTCTCCTTTTCAGAGACGGTCACTTATATGGTTGAGCCCAAACACCCATTTTGGTGACTGTGTTTATTATTTATTTCATTTATTTCAAATCATTGCTAAACCACTTAAGTTTTCTTAAAAAAAAAAAAACCACACCTGTAAGTGGTATAAACTATGTACAGTGTGGCAACAACATCCCTTAAAACAAAAATACAAGCTAAAACCAACAAAATAACATAAAAGCAAGTAAATGGTGCAGCAAGTGAATTTCCTGCCTAGGCAGGGGGCTGGACTAGATGGATTTTGAGGCCCCTTCAAAGAGATTCTAAAGCCAATAGAAATTTATCCTTAAACATGGAACCAGTGCAACCCTGTGGACCCCTGCTCCTAGTTCCTTCTGGTCTAAAGACCCACATAGTCAGCACCAGAAGTGGGGGAACCTGCAACACTCCATATGTTGCTGGACTTCAACTCCCATCAGCCCAGCCAGAACGATCAGTGGGGAAGGCTGATGAGAGCTAGAGTCTAGCTGCATCTCGGAAGGTCACGGCTTCTCCACCCCTGGTCTTCAGGCTATATCACATTTTAGTTGACAGCAGCTACCCTTCCTCCATCATCATACCTTGCTGGTGCAGTTATCCTAAATTTGGAAGCATTGAAGGAAGGAAAGAAGGAAGAAGATAAGGTTACGTTTGTTGAGCAAGGAAGAGGAGGGAGTTTAAACAGGCACCACAGATTCACAGATGCACTTCCAGTTACTTTTCCAAGGAACCACATCAGTAAGCACCTCAAAACACTTTCCCCAGGTGGTAACCTTGAACCTATGGAGTTTGACTATATGAAGGGGGGCTACAGTAGGGCAGGAAGCCTTAGGAAGGAGGACAGAAGCTAGAGGGGCTTCAGCCATGTCAATTTAAGAGCTTAGATGGAGCATAAAGGGAGAACCCTGCCATGTGTCGGAAGCTCCAGGACTAGGCATTATCAGACATACACAACATGTTAAAAGCCTGGCTAACACTATACTCAGTGTTAAGAGAAGCAGTCACCTCTGAGCTAGGCTTTGACCATTTGAAACAGCAATAAGGAACCACTGGAGATTCAGATGTTGTTGGATTCCAACTCCCATTAGCCAGTATGGCAAATGGTCATGGATGATGGGAGTCTGAGCCCAGCCACATACAGATGCAGCCCAGCCCATGCCCTCTCTAGTTTAGAATTTTGCAATATAATGCCAGGAGTGGGACAGGTGAGCAGTTTTTTTCAGGGACAGCAGCCTCATGGGTCAAATCAGGGGCCCTGCTGGCCCCAGTTAGTTCCCCACCCAAATCATCCCAAAATCAGCATGTCTGAGGCTCTTTAGTAGGTGGGGAGAATTGGGGTAGAGGATCACTATTTCCAAATAGTAGATTTCTGAAGCCCTCTGGCTTTGGAAAGCTACAACAAAAACATTTCTACTTGGGCACTAAGTATTTTTTAAAACAGCTGTTAAAACACTGTCAGTTAACACACAAAATCCTGCCACACCCTCCTGAGGCAGTTATTATTTTATTGATGTCTTGGCATGTTACTAGAACCAGGTGGGCTTGTAAAGCTCATGGTTTTGGTTTTTTTTAAAAAAATGAGTGTGAAAATAATTCGGACTTACCACTTCTGCTAAGGCTGAAATGACTTTTCCCAAGGTGGTGAGAGACTTGTTGATATTTGCTCCCTCCTAGAAAGGTAAAACAAACATTTGATTTTGAAGCTGTCCAGATATAAAAGGGAAGTCTGGAAAAATGAGACACTTCACCCTCACCCACCCCACTATTTGCTACAGAATATATACACCTATTGCATTAAGGATTCTACTTCTTTTGTACATTGTGTCTGACTCCATGCATGATACAGCATCTCAGAACAGACTCTCTTTACCTAGTGGTCACCTGTGTTGGTCTAGGATCTGACCAACAATGAATGAATGAATGAATAAATTTATTACGGTCATAGACCAGAAGAAATCTGACCAACAGGTATACATCATGCATAGGTCATCACTGCCCTAAAATTCCTGGAGATGCAGGCTGCATTTTTCCCTTCCTCCAGCAAAGTGGCAGGGACTCTGGTTTCACCTCTGCAAGCCCCACCCACAAAGGAGGAATAGAAAGGGCTATGGATCACATAGAATCACAGAATCAGAACTGTAAAGTTGGAAGGGTCCCCCAATGGTCATCTACTCCAACCCCCTACAATGCAAGATTCTGAACATGCAGTCCCTCAACTACTGGGTGGGACCCATGAGCAACAGGCACTCCAATTCAAAGTATCAATTGCCCTCTTATCTCATTTTCTACCCCCACCAGGGCTGAAGATTGGCTAGCAAACATCTGGCCAGCTGTTTTGAAAAAACAAAGGCTAAGGTCTCACTCCAAACTGGGTAGGGCAGCATGCTGAATGCTGATCCTTGGCAATGCATTAAATGATATGGCAACATCCAGGAATGTACTCATTACCAAGTCAGACCACTGACCAGTCTAGCGCAGTAGTGTAACTGGGAGTGGCTGAGAAGGGTCCTTCCCATTACCTGCTGCTGCCTGATCCTTTTTAACTGGAGATGCTGGGGATTGAACCTGGAGTGTTCTGCATGCTGCATGCAAAGTGGCTGCTCTTAACACTGACCTACATCCTCCCTGGCACAACATAGCAGAGCCAACTCATACCTTTAATCGGGTCCCTTTGGCACCAGTGGAGTCTGCCCTCTCACTCCCAGCAAGATCCACGAGGCTAATTTTGCTAACCTGGGAAGAAAAGCATGGTCAAATAAGGCAGGGAAAGAGAGAGAAAGCCAGCAATTTTATCTTGGTCCCACAGTATTCAGGTGCCCAAGGTAAACACACTCCTGCACAGTACCAGATGCCTGCTATAAAGTCCCAATAAGTTCAGCTTTCAGATATTCAAACACCTCCCCTATATTTTAGCCATTGCTTACAAAGGGGCAGATTTACAAACGTGACACAGCCAGCATGACTGTCAAAACTTTATATATCACGGATTCTGTCATCATAGAAGAGGAAGCTGCTCTACATATCAGGGCACTAGTGCCACCAGAATCAGGGCTGTCAGTGGCATGCTAACACCACCTAACTGTTCCTTTTCTGATCACTATCCCATCACTTCATGCCTGAAACAAAAACCTCAAGCATAGCATAGCAATGATTAAGAATACTTAACTGGGAATGAAACATGCAGCCTCAGCAGCTATACGCAACATTAGGATGCTGGCCATGTTTACTGTTTTGCCCAGAGGAATTTGTATTCATCTGGGATGGGATTTATATTGGGGGTGTGGGGAGAATTACATTACAACCACCTGGCCAGAAAATTGCAGCTTGCTAGTTTTGATTATCTTCATCTAATAAAGAAGTTAAGTTAACAACATGACAAGCAGGTCATCGTCCTCCTGTAACTTTGCAGAGTGTTAATGTGAGAGAACAAGTAATGTGATAACATAAAAATAGCCTTGCAGCTGAATCAGGCCAAAGTCACACCTAGTCCAGCATCCTGCTCTCACAGCACCCAACCAGTTGCCCCAATGTGAAGCCTACAAGCAGGACCTCAGCACTCTCTTCGCTTGCAATTCCCAGCAACTAGTATTCAGAGGCATACTGCCTCCAACAGTAGGCAGAGAACATAGCCATTGTGGCTAGTAGTGATGTTCTTTTGAAGCCAGCCAAATTAGTGGCCGTCACTACCTCTTGTGGGAGCAAATTCCATCATTTAACTATGTGTTGTATGCACATTCAGCTACACTGGATGTCCATGAGTTCTAGAAGTAAGAGAGAGGGAGAAAAACTTCTCTGTATCTACTCTCTTCACACAATGCCTCATTTTATGAGACACTTCTATCATGCCCTCCCTTATTCACATTTTTCCCCTTGAGTAAAAAGCCCCAGATATTGTATTGTAGAGAGATAAACATTTATTCTTAGAATTGAAACGTTCTATAAGTACCCCAGTTGCACAATGCACTGTGCTAAAGCTTCTCCTGTTTTTTTTCCCTCCAAAAGTAGCATTCAGGCCAGAGAGAGACTTCCCCCAAGTAGAATAAGCTCCTCTTTTAAACATGCAAATCCCTCCACAGTTTAAAAAGGCGGCTTGCTTGTTGCCACCTCCAAAGGAAACTAGGCCAACCGGGAGGATGGAGAAGAAGAGAGAGAGTTAATGAGGCGGTAATTAGTTAAGCCCTGCCAAGCAGAAACACTGGCACTTCTGTGCAGAAGGAGGGGGGTTTACTCAGGCTCTCCTTATGCTACAGCTACAGAGATCTTCTTTCTTAGTGTTGTATCCTACTAAGGCCAAATTCTTAAGATATATTAAAAGCACTCTGATAGACTTTAAACTGTCATGGCTTCCCACAAAGTATCCTAGATTTCCTAGGAGACCCTGACTCCCCTCCCAGAGCTATAATTCTCAGAGTTCCCTAGGAAGAGAGACTGTTAAACCACTAGGAATTGTAGCCCTCTAAGGGGAATGAGGGTCTTCTGACAACTATACTTTCCAGAACTCTTTGGGGCAAGCCATCACTGTTTAAAGTGTTTCAAATAAATACAGTGGTAGCTTGGGTTAAGAACTTAATTCGTTCTGGAGGTCCATTCTTAACCTGAGGTACCACTTTAGCTAATGGGGCCTCCTGCTGCACGGCCACCACGGAATTTCTGTTCTCATCCTGAAGTAAAGTTCTTAACCCGAGGTACTATTTCTGGGTTAGTGGAGTCTGTAACCTGAAGCGTCTGTAACCCAAGGTACCACTGTAATGTGTTAAATATATGGTGCAAATATGGCCTTAGTTGGATACAACCCTAAGCAGATCAGAAGGCAATCCACCCAACATTTCTCACCACCCTTGGGAAAGAGAGCGAGCAGTTCCCAAGTCATGTTATGAGGGAAGTCCCTGATCTAGTTGCAAGGAGCTTGCTTTGCACCCCAGCTATTTCCCCTAATCCCCAACTCGGGAGTAGCCTACCTTCTCAGTGGAAAGATCAGTTTCAAGGTCATGCTTCTTCTGCGTGAAAACAATAGTGAAGACTGCATGGGAACGGCTGCTGGTTTCATTCATGTTGGTAGCTGCCACCGTCCTTTAATACAGAAAAGAGAAAGAAAGGGAAAGCTCGGGATTAAAGAACAAGAACACCATTGATGGGAAGAATCAATGGGAAGTTGGCATCTTTACCATCATACAAGGTCATCTGAACCTGGGACTAGGTTAGGGATGGGAGAACCTGCAAACCTCCAAAGGTTGGTGGATTACCAACTCCCATCATCGCTTACCAAAGCCATGCTGGCTGCTGCAGCTGCTGGGAGTTGGATTCTAACAATAGCTGGAGGACCCATTTCTAGACTGTGTTATGGACTGCCAGGAGTCAGGAGAGACAGCCAGACAAATACCGTTGAATCCTCTGTATTTGTCTATTTGATCTGTAATCCACTTTTGAAGCTAACCTTGGCTGAAAAGTGGGGGAATTCATTTGTATTAGCTCTTCCATGAGGGAGCTCAAGGCAGTGTATGCAGTGCCCCCCCCCCGGCACTGGCCACCCCCTCACCAGCTTAGCTTCAGCAAGCAGCTGCATCATTGTGCCCTAGGATAATCTCTTATGCCAACCTAGTCCGCAATTTTAATTTATAAACTGTAAAACAGAACTAGTAAAGTATACCATGTTATAATAATAATAATAATAATAATAATAATAATAATAATTTATTACTTATACCCCACCACTGCCAGAAGTAGTTGAAGAGAAATATTTGATTGGGAGGAAGGAGAATTCAATTGTGTGCACTTGGACAATCATATCTTGGATTAACAAGCGAAGATATGGATGAGACTTTGGCCACATGTGCCTTCGCACAAGCAAACCAACCAACCAACTAGGAAGTCTTCCATTAAATATCACTTCATGTTCTATCTGAACCAGGAAACTATTGTTCACAGGTTAGAAACAAGCCATGACATTCAACTATGTTTTGAAACTGGCTTAATACCCCATTTTGTTCTAAACCTCCTAACCATAGTTTCCAGGTTCTGTTGAAATGAGAAACTATGTCAATGAAAGACTTCATGGTTCACATGCAGGGTCTGACTGACTGGCCAAAATGTTTGTTAGGCATTACTCCTAATGGCTATATTCATAAGTTGACAGGGAAATTATTTTCACTGGTGTACTAGCAAATATTTTTAAGACCTGACAGCTGTGTGAGTTGTGAAACACCAATGTCCCTGTGCCATGCCTGAAATAAGACCCAACCTACCTAGCTTTGTTCCCAGCATCCATGAGGTCCGCAATATCAGTGTAAGAAGTGACAGCAAGTTTTGACAGGTCTTCCACGTACGGCCCAAGCAGAGGATGCTCCCGGACACGCAGATTCCCCTTGTTCTTGGGGTTCAGCAGATCACGGACTCTCTCACAGTAGATCTCCATGTAACTGACCTGCAAGAAAACACACACACACACACACACACACGGTTCAAATCTGGACAACTGTAAGAAAACCAATACAGGAAAATGATGTTAAGGAAGAGGTTTACTCAAAACAGGTGACCCAGGGAGTATGAAGAGAGAAATATATTTAGAAAGATCCTCTTTTACAGAGTTAAAAAAAATCATCATCATTTAAGAAGGCTCCATTATTCACAATGATTATGTTTCAGAACAAGCAATCAATATGCACTTTGGCTGAAAGAGTTACGTAAGAGCTCTTTAGATTACTCTAGCATCTACAAAGAAAAATAACGAGAGGAATTTATCCATCCAAATAGCTATTGAGCTAATGAGACCACCTTACGTAAGTCAGAACATATCACTGCTCCTTCTAGCCCATTATGGCCAACTCCAGGAATAGGGAAATATGTGGCCCTCCATATCTTGTTGGACTACAGCTCCCCTCATCCCTCACTATTGGCCATGCTAGCTGAGGTTGATGGCTGCTGTTGTAGATAAATACCAGGGTGGACCTGATGATAGGAAAAGTTTACTTACTCCTCATCCTGGAGAGGAGGCAAAAGACTTCAGAGGACCCTGCCTGATCCTTCCAGTAGGAGGCACCATCCCTATCAGGAATGTCCTCCAGCGACATCTGGCAAAGGTTGATTTACAGCTTGGGTGCAAGGCACTGGGGGAGGGCGGGAGGGAGGTGCATATTGTAGTCACACAGGAAATTATAACCCATTCCAGGAAGTGGAAAAATTTCACCTCTGTTGCTCCAGCTGCTAATTAGGAAACCTGAAGAGCCACTCCTGGGTTCTAGACCTATCCAGGTTTTCAAAGAAGCATGTGGTGATGGCTACATGCTTAGATGGTTGTGAAAGGTGGGAGGAGGAAGAGGTTGTTTTGAGATGGATAGACAGAATGTGGGCTATATGAAAGCTCCTAGTGCAGAGGCTGGGGAGCAATATCAGGAGAGGGCTATAGACTTCATGCTCTGCATGTATGTATGTATGTATGTATGTACATACGTACGTACATGTGTTTGTGTGCATACCCAGACATGTGTGACTGCTGCTTTGCCCCAGGCTACAAATGCAGTGTTGGAAAGCCTTTTTAGCAACCAAGGAAGGAAACGACAGGTGTGCATTGTAGCTGGAGGGGGCGTGACTGCTTCAGAGCCCAAAGAATGCAGGTGACCGGGGTGACCGGAAGGTAGCATAATAGACAGAGCTGTGCCTGAACAAACACGTTTTTCCTGTTAACACGACACAACAATGACAATTCCTAGGCTGTCTGCCAAGCCGATGCTTAGGAGGATGTGTGTCCATAAGTTGGCAAACGACGGAAATGCAACCTAGGTAAAAATAGCACACTGCTGCATGCATTTGTTCCATATGCTTTCATCAGGCCTCCTTATTCAACAGGCAATGGGGGCGGCTTCTGCTAAGTCCTCCCAGAATGGCTGATTTGGATAAAGATTTGAAGGAAGGGGACAGATTCTGACTTGAAGAGCTCATAACTGCACATAAAATCTGTATCTTTTGGCTGCATCAGAGTAGACCCATCAAACCTAATTTACTTGCATTGATGCCAATGGATCTACTCTGAGTACGATATAGCTAGAAACAATCCTTTATTATTTTGGCAGGCAGTGGTGGGACAACTGGTTTCCAATGTCAAATCTGCCCTCCCTTCACACCAAGTATTTGTAAAAGAAAATTCACCATGAGCTTACAAATATAGCGCTGAGTTTGTCACCAGAAGACAGGGCAAATGAGGCTCCAAAGCATTTTTAAGGTCTAGAATACATGACCTACCAGCAGCTAGCACAACATCAACCTCTTCTTGCTATTTTAAATTGGCAGAGGTGGCCAGCAGTGAAGGAAATGAAGGGGGGGGCTGGGGCTGGGGCTTTTGTCGGGAGCCTGTGGAGAAGAGAAATTTGAGAAGAGGGCAAGCAGTAGCATGGAGACTTAGGTTATATGGAGTTTGGAGCCACAGGTGGGATGCTCAAGTCTGGCTGGAAGGTGAAAAAATGACATTAGAGACACTAGTGTTGCTGATGAAAGCATTTCAGAAGGTAATGGGTTATTCCTTAGACTGGGGTGGTGAACCGTTTTTAGGATGAGGGCCATAATTCCTTATGCACAATATTCTGTGGGCCACTTATCAATGGTACGTGGAGCCAGAGGCAAAAACAGAACATGAAATGTAAATGTTACCTTCCTACAGTAGGCTGATTTCTACATACAATCACACACTCCTCTCTCATTTGAGGAGGGTGTGAAGCAGTAGTGGGTGCAGTCTAGATCACCCCCAAGTTCCTACACCATATTGTAACAAAGCCAATGCATGTGTAATGGAAATAATAAGATAGCCTTCTCCTGCCTGCCCACGCCTCCATTTCCTCAATTCATCTCATGCTTCCTTCTGCCTGTTTTAGATTGTAAGTGCCTTGGGGTAGAGACTTGACATACCTGCTCTTTGTAAAATGCCAGGTAGTGCTATACAGATAGACACACATACAAAGCTGATCAGTGGGACCAAGGATTATGTCTCAATATCACAAGAGTTGTGCCTTAACAATGCTTCCCTTCCAAAGTTATGTTTAAACAGTGTCCCTGAAATTCAACCAAGACACTTACCTCCACAGAGTAAGATATTTCCTCATTGCTGTTGTCATTGATCTTCTCAAACAGCTCTTCGCAGAGCTATAAAGAGATTAGAGAGAGAGCATCACTCTACAACCAGGGAGAAGGAAAACTGTAAGGAAAGTCCCTGCGGTGCTTAATCTACTGTGCTTCCAGTGTTTCTGTCCAATACATGGGGCCTGGCAGAGAGGCTGCTAATCCAGACCCCATGCCCACCCCACACCCCCAAAACACACTTGGCAGCCAATCCATTTAGCCTTTATGCAGATATTGATTATAACCAAATTCAACTTCAGCATGGGGGGAAGGGGAAAATTAGAACTCTTAGGAGGGCATTAGAACTCCTAGGAGAGGGATAATTAAGATGTTAAATCTTCCCAGAGCCAGCTGTGAAAACACTTTGACTTATTTTTAAGAAGAATCACTTTTGGAGTTCATCTGCTGGAATTTTAAAAGCAAAATAAACTCAGCTTGGGAGGTTGTTGGGGTTAACTTCTATACTTCTTCGGTCACAACCGCACTACACATTTTAAGTACTCTTATACCACTTTAAACAGCCAAAAAATCCTGGGAGCTGTCATATGCAATGGGTGATGAGACTCCTACTTCCTCCATAGAGATAAAATTTCCAGCGCTCCCTAGGAAGAGGGATGGATTGTTAAACCACTTTGGGAACTGTGGCTCTATAACGTAAATAGGGCTCTCCTAACAACTCTTAACACCTTTTACAAATGACAGGTCCCAGGATTCTTGGTGGTAGGGGTGAACACATGACTGTTTAAAGTGGTAGGATAGTGCTTTAAATGTATCGTTTGGACCACTAATTGTGCATCTGTGGTGGATTTATAGTTTAAGTGTGAGGTACAGTTGTGGCCTTCCTTAGTCCTTTGTTGCAGGTGGAACTTAAGAGCTGACAATGGGGGCTAGGAAGGCATGAGCAGGCACTAATGGTTGAAGCAATCACACCCCAACCAGCATGCAATTCAGTGCAAAAATGAAGTTTTTGGGGTCTGTTTCCAGGAAACCCGGACTTTATACTCTAAAGCATGGGTAGGCAAACTAAGGCCCGGGGGCTGGATCCAGCCCAAACACCTTCTAAATCCGTCCCATGGACGGTCCAGGAATCAGCGTGTTTTTACATGAGTAGAATGTGTCCTTTTATTTAAAATGCATCTCTGCGTTATTTGTGGGGCATAGGAATTCATTCATTTTTCTTTTCTTTTCAAAATATAGTCCGGCCCCCCACAAGGTCTGAGGGACAGTGGACCAGCCTCCTGCTGAAAAAGTTTGCTGACCCCTGCTCTAAAGTGTACATACATAGTAAAATCTGTTAAATATTTGCTTTACTTCATTTATGCTGGGGGGGGGGGGTTAAGCCTTTGCCTTCCAAAGGGAGACTGACAGAGAGAGAAAATCGCTCCTGTTTCAGCAGCCAAAGGAGGTGGGGGGAGCACATGCCTGTAGCAATGAAGACAAAGAGGTACCGGTATTTTAGAGGATATGGTGGGGAAAGTTTTACAGGGCATCACCATCCTGAAATAAGTAGTAAGGGTGGTAGGAAAGAGTAGCAGAAAGAAAACAGATTTGAAAAACAATAATTAAATGCCCAAAGGAGCACCAGTGCAAGGATTTCTGCTTGAGCAACACAATGATCTCCCCCTCCCCTCCATTCTGTGAGCTCCCTAAATCTGATCTGGGGTTCCCCCAACTCTCTCTAGCAAATTTGGGGAGGATGCAGGACACACACAGGGGGGAGTTCTGTTGCACACACATAAACCCTTGCACTAACAAACAAGTGTGTTGAATACTGCCTTAAATTCTATATTCTAAAAACTTAGAATCATACAATCATTCTAAAAGGAAACTCGTGGGGGGCGGGCAACATCAAAAGGTTTGGGGGCCAGATTTGCCCCATGAGCTACCCAACTCTGATATAGAATGCAGCAACTTCATGCAAAACAATCAGCACAGAGTTCAGCCTTGCTCCCTGCTTCCAAATGCAGACACACAGCCCCGACACCTGGCTGGCATTTTGCTTAACCTACCACCAGCTTCTGGCCATAACTCAGCCCTCATCAAATGTCTGCTCTGCATGTGTTTTTCCCATTAGCACAAGAAGGGTTTTCACTGTCTATTTTACACTCAAGGGGCATAGAGCCAGCAGCATCTGCTGCTGATCCTATAGCAGAACGAGGGCACAAAATGCCTATTCAGCAAAATGTATTTATTGAGGCTGAAATCTAGTCTCAGCAACTGTCTCCCCTCCCAAACACACTTCATTCAATTAACTTGATAGCAGCAGCAGCACAGCCAATGGCAAGTTATACATAAGAACATAGAAAACTGCCTTATGCAGAGTCAGGCCATTGTGCCTTCGAGCTAAGTGTTGTCTGTCCAAGATGACCGGTAGGAGCTCTTCAGGGTTTCAGGTAGAGAACATTCCCAGCCCTACCTGGAGATGCTAGTGATTGATTCTGGGGCCTCCTACATACAAAGCAGATGCAGTAACCACTTAGCTACAATCCTTCCCTTAACACATAGGAACGTAACAAGCTGCCTTATACAGAGCCAGATCACTGGGTCATTGAGCACAGTAAATATGCAAAGATGAGACTGTTCCTTTTCAAATGCCTCACCCAAATCCACGTTTCCTCTTCTTCTTTTTTAGGATAGTCATTGTAATTGGCTGATCACTGGTTTGTGTTTGTTCCTCTTGCTACTGGCAACCGAGCTACGCCCTCCTTATAGATTTGTTTGCTGCTCTGTATTTTGCTGTTTTTCTGACTCATTCTTACTGCTGCCTTGTTTTTAGAGTGACTGTCAGAATTGCTGATTTTATGGTTGCTATCCACTTAGATGTATCCTACATTCTCTGGAAAAGACACTATATATATATATGTGTGTGTGTGTGTGTGTGTGTGTATATATTTAAAAACCCAAACTTTTCTCTCTCTGTAGGTGACAAATCTAAGGTTATTTGAGATCGCATGTTGCATTTTCACCTACGGTACTCTTGTATGGACACAGTTGCCCCCAAAAGCGTGCAAATGAATGTGTTCTTTCTGCTACAAGTTTTCCATAAGTAATGATATTTTGATTGTGCTCTTACAGAATGTTGAGACAAAAGCACTTAAATCCTACCAAGAGGGGGTAACTTTAATTTTGACTATTTAAAACGTCTTCTTTCTTCCCATACCTTTTGCATTTCTAAAAAGAAGGCAATGATTCTGGATGAGGAAAAGAAATTGGAATCTGATTCCTGTAAGCTTCAGAGAAATCCCATGTGAAAGCCAATTGCTAGAAGCATTTTGCAAAGCAGGGCATCCCAAGACGCTTCCTTACCTGTGGTATGATCCCTGCCTGATTCTCCTCCTGCTTCCCCATCATCGTGTAGGACTTCCCAGCTCCAGTTTGGCCATAGGCAAAGATACAGACATTGTAGCCCTCGAAGGCGTGCAGCAACATCTCCTTCCCAATATCATTGTACACACGATTCTGAGATGCGAAGCAAGGATCATCAGGCTGCAAAGATTTAAACAGAAGGGTAAGCGGAGAGTCAGTATGGATCCCGTTAGGAATGAAACAACTGTAAAGGGTTTCCCATTAGGGCATCTGGCAAGCTAATGTGAGAAGAGAAAGCTGGGACTATGAGGGGGGACTTTCATCTCATCTAGCAGATCTCATGTGATATGTTCTTAAGGGAAAGAGATAAGGGAATCCAAACATTGGGATACAGCCTTCCACAGAAAGGCAGTAGCAGCTGTTAACAGGCAAGACTGGTAAAGAATAGTAAGGGTTGCTAGTGTGGGAAGCACTCCTTGACCATATAAAGCTGCCCTCTGTGGAGTCAGGCTGCATTAGTCCCACTAGCCCAGGAGTGTCTACTCTTGACTGGCAACTAGTCTCCAAGGTTTCATCTAGCCTTGCTTCGGAGGAACTTTTCCCTAGAGATGCCAAGGATCCTATTGAGGGATCTGGTTGGCCGCTCTGCAAACAGGATGGTGGACTAGATGGGCCTTCAACCTGATCCAGCAGGCTCTTCTTATGTTCTTAAACAATGGGTATTTATGAAGAACATACCCTCAGCGAATACAATGCTTCAGATCGGGGATGGGGAACCATCTTCAGCCCAAGGGCCACATTCACTTCTGGGCAACTTTATGGGGCCACATGTCAGAAGGGCTGAGCTAGAAGCATAAGTGGGCAGAGCCAATAATGACCATTTACCTCTGTACAGTAGGCTAGTATCTACACACCCCTCTCTCCATCCTCCTCCATTCAGGCAAGTCAGAGTTCAAGGATACAGTCCAGCCACACACAAAATACTCAAGCAGAAAACAAAGCAGGGCTTGCCTGAGGAGGAGTGTGGCTGAGGAGGGATGTTCAGCCTAGAAAGAATCCCAAGGGTTAGAGAGATACAGGCCTGGAGGCCTGAAGTTCCTCACCCCTGTTTAAGATGTTCCTCCACTACCACATCCAGTTACCAAAGGAAGTTTGCAGTTCCTATCACTCAAGTGTATCCTCTTGCACCTTTAACTACAGTGGTGCCTCGCAAGACGAAATTAATTCGTTCCGCGAGTTTTGTCGTCTTGCGTTTTTTTTCGTCTTGCGAAGCACAGTGTCGGGAAAGTTTTGGAAAAGCTTCAAAAATCACCAAAGTCTTTAAAAACCTCAAAAAAGGCTACCACACCGCGTTCTATGAGTTGCTCCTCGAAGTCAAGTCGCAACTGTATTAACGGTGTTAAGAAAAAGGAAACAAACTTGCAAGACGTTTCCGTCTTGCGAAGCAAGCCCATAGGGAAAATCGTCTTGCGAAGCAGCTCAAAAAACAAAAAACCCTTTCGTCTAGCGAGTTTTTTGTCTTGTGAGGCATTCGTCTAGCGAGGCACCACTGTATAGATTAGAATTAGATATGGCCACTTTGGTATCTAAGTAACAACGGAGACTACTTAAAAGGAAGGTGATGAACTTCTAAAGCTCCTGGAGCCTTGCAGTTGCCAGTGCTTTTTGTTTCAGGAAATCAAGAGGATCTGCTTCTGATCTCAGCGACAAAGTGCAACCAGTCATGAAACTAACCAGCTCATGCAGCTGTCCAAGCAGACTTTCCCAACTGTTTTATTAAAAGCATCTTGCTAATTTGTAATGCCAACGAAGAACCTTGTTGCAAGTAGATATCTTCTGCAAGTTAGCAAGTGGACAAACAGGGCTGGGAGAAAACTAAAGGTAGCTGAAGTCATTTACAGTGACAGCTTTATTTGGTTGACAAATCTGGAAGTATTGGGGCAGCCTAGGGATGCAAACCTTGCTCACGTTTTGAGGAACCTAAACTGAAAAATGTAAACGGGGGTAGCAAAGCCAAATTCATAAAGTGTTGAAATAGTTGTAGGGGAGAAAGGGAAACTCAGCTGTAGAAGAGGGCAAGTAGTGAAACTGCCATGCTATTACTTCAGTTTACAGGGTGATCAATTACTGCATATTATGGGTACGCCATTCTTCACATGTCACAATAAGCCAGGTTTTGCCATGAAGAAGCTGGTAACTGATCACTCCCACACTGTTAAAATTCACTCCATGAAAGGACCAAACAAAGCAAAATGGCCTGGCTTCCTGTTACAGCTGAACAAGAGGTTGTGGCTTGTTTTCAGTCAGAAGCCAACCTTAAACCATAGTTTGTTGTTGGTTTACAGTGGTGTCCAAACTTTTTTCATTTGATGAAGTGAAGGACTGTGAGGGCCGACCAAAGGGCCAACCATAGTTGTTGACCTTTTTTAGAATTGAAGTTGTTGAGTGTGTTTTTTAGGAATTTACCCCAGGAAATAAACTGCTACAGAGGCCGGATTAAACCAACCGGCGGTCCGCATTAAGCCCCCGAAACGGACTTCAGACATGCCTGGCTTATTGGTTCGTACATAACATTGTTTATCAAACTATGGCCTATTCAACCATGGATTAGTGTTATGTATGAACCTGGCCCATGTCTGAATTATGGGTTGTTTACTGACAACAAGCCATGGTCTGCATCCTTTGTTTGTTCTTGGCTTATGAATCTGAGTTTTAACCATGGTTGGTGCTACGTGAAATATGAGCAGCATTCCTTAAGCATGGTTTGTTGACCATTCTACCCCACATATTAACCAACTTACCAAGGCACAAGGCAAGAGCAGCTGGAAAACCAACCAAGTTTTTAAAAAGCAAGCCATGGTTTGCTTGTGTTGTTAATGTGGTTAATTCAACTATGGCTTAAATAAACCATGGCTTAGTATTGCATCTTGTTAGGGAACAATAAACCAAAACAGCAGGTTTGGATGTAACTGAAAGACAAACTTAACTGTGGGTTCCTGGTTTGTTTTTCTGTCATAGCAGGTGAAGAGTAAAGTGGAACAACTGATTAGCCAGAAACCCTGGATTATCACAACATACTGAATTTGCTCCAGTGTATGACTCCTCAGTACCAAACATTTACAGTAACAAATAAAGAGAATAAAGTGCTACAGAACATTAGAAAAATACCTTTCCCTCTTCCCCTATTACCCCAACTAGTCCCACTGCTTCTCTAAGGGCAAAGCCTTGCCAGCTTGCACAGGCTCTAGTTCCAACTCTCAAGCTGAGAACTCAGAACATCAAACTGAAATAAAATATAAAGGGCATAAGCAAAGAAGTCAGATGCTCCTTTAAAAAAAAAAACCGGAATAATTGTGTTTCACAATCTTACTGAAGAAAGATACAAACATACAGAAGGCTTCAGAGAGCAAGCAAATTCAAAGAGAAGAAAAAAATAATACTATTTCTTTAAAAAGAGGCTTCCAAGCATGACATAATCCGAAGCCTCAGCTGACAAGCAGAACATTTTCCCGTTCAAGGAATAAGTGGAGCAGATTAACCCACAACAAGATGACTGCCCTGCTATGCTCTCCGTGGAAAACCAACTTACTACTCAATTAAGAGGAATAGCTTGGGGGAGAGGGTCGGCAGAGAGAACGCGGACACACGCATGCAGGAGTGCAAGGATCAGATGCTAAATTTTATCTTGGTGGGGCAAGTTCATCATCTCTGATGGGAACTATCTATCATAATACAATGGTAGTGCCGAGGGACAAGAGAGGGGTGTGACCAAGACCACCTAAATGGGTTTGGAGAAAGAGGGGACATTTCAGCCAGGTGCTTTCCTGCTCCTAGATAACAGTGGGGTCTATGCAGAACAGCAGTCTTGGAAGACTGGTATAAAAACAGCTTTTGCCAACCTTGTGCCTTCCAGGTGTTTTGGACTACAACTCCCATTAGCCCCCAGCCAATGATGGGCAGGGCCAGAGGCAAAAGCAGACAAGGAAAACGCATTATCACAGTTCAAGGACACAGTGTAATCAGGCAAAAACACTTCTCATGTATGGCCAAGTGTTGGGGAGAGGCCTGGGGAAAGAGAAATGTGGCCTAGAGAGAGTACTGAGGGCCAGACAGTGATGCCTGGGGGTGGGGTTGCCACCTGTCCTGTATAATACAGGATTGTCCCATACAGTGGTACCTCCGGTTACAAGCTTAATTCATTCCAGAGGTCTGTTCTTAAGCCGAAACCGTTCTTAACATGAGGCGCGCTTTCGCTAATGGGGCCTCCCGCTGCTGCCGCACCGCCAGCACACAACTTCCACTTCCATCCCAGGACATTCGCAGCTAGGGGCATCTACTTCCAGGTTCGTGGAGCTCATTACTCAAAGCATTCGTAAGGAGGCCAGTACGTAACCCGAGGTTCCACTGTATTTTAATGTAAAATGCTATGTCCTGTATTGATACAGTTTTGTTCTGCCATAGATTGTAATAGATTGCTTTGATGTCACTTCAGCACCAGATTGGGGGGGGGGCGTGTCGTTCCCCAAAAGCCCCACATTAGGTTTCTGTGCCTGTGGTTCCCTATCCCTCGGGTAGCAGAACAGTAGGGCCATTTCATAGCTTCATAGTTCAGGATGCAGAGATTAGAAAACAAAAACAAAAACACTCTTCAGTCCTTTGATTCTTCTGAATGAGAGCCAACTGGGCTCAGTGGCTACTAACCCTGCCCATACCTTCCTCTTGGACCAAAATCAATTATCCAAGTTTACATCTGTTGGGAATAGGGAGTGCTTTTTTCCATCTACTCCACCCTTATGACAAGTGAAGAGCAGCCACGGCTAAGCCCAACAATTACTGGAAGTAAGCAAGACCTCAGATTCAGCTTTCGCAAGTGATCTTTTTTTTGGGGGGGTGTTGTTTGGAGGAGAGAATGTTTTATGATTTTAGTAGTGGGGTGGAGTAGAGAAGCTGAAGGCACAGCACTGCACTGCCCTCCTCCTAATAACCCCGCAGATTAAAACTCATCTTTCACCAATCCAGAAATAATCCTATAGAAAGAGTTTCCTTTCTGAACAAAAAATAAAACTAAACAGTCACAGCAGGAAAATGTTTACTGTTCAAATTCCATTCTCCAACTCCTTGGGCCAACCCCTCTCCTCTATCATCTTTGCACACACTTGTTCTTTGCCACTTGGAATTTAATCTTTCTGAAACCCATGATGGAAAAAGCAGTTAAACATACACCGAGATGATATTTGGAAACTTCAGTTGCTAAAACCACAATACAGTCAAAGGAAGAAAACAGCTGCTTTAGGGGGCGAGGGGGGTGTTCAATCACCAGCTGGACAGGCTTGGATTCCACCTTCAAAGGGGATTGTTCTACGAAACAAAATCAGAGCTCTTACCGATGTGTGAGACCAGTAGGAGTAGTCAAAGCTGAAGGATTTGGGTGCTTCCTTGGGATTCTTAGGGTTGAGAATACCTAGCAAAAAATAAACAAACACATATTTATTATCGAAGAACTTCAGGAAAGGGCAGGGATAGAAGTTATGTTAAACCAGCCTTTTTTAATATAGTGTCCTCTAGATGTTGCTGGACCACAACTCTCTGTCCAGTGGTCATGCTGGCAAGGGCTTATGAGAGTTGGAGTGTCTCAGCAACATATGGAAGAGAAGGCTACACTAAATCATGGTTTCAAGTTGGCTTGTTCAAACAACCCATAGATAATATTGACTCAGAGGACACTACTACCTGCAGTTAACCAAGAGGAGATGGGAAAGCTTATAAAGTCCACTTCATGGTTACATCAGAATTGAAAACAAATAAGCCCAAGGCTCACTGCAGCTTGTTCATGTCACATTAAACTATGGCTTATCTAATTCCTATAGATACACAAATGAAGAACCTGGTATTTTTGTCTTCTAACACCTCAAAACCTAAAGCACATAAAAGAGTTCTACAGGAATTGCCTATAATTATATACAGTCAGCTATAACGGTAATCCACTACATACACTTTTTCTTTAAGACGCTGTATTAAATATTTGCATTTGTAGCCAACTGTGCTTTGGCTCTGTGAAGTCAAGCGTGAACTATCTTACATTGGAATCAGAGCAATTCAATTCTAATAGGTTGGGAGGGGAAATTATTTTACTGGCTCTGTTCCCGTTCCTTTCATATTACCCTGACATACAGACATAAGAATGAAATAACCCTGTTGGATCAGACCAAAAGACCCATCTAGATCAACATCCTGTTCTCACAGTGGCCAACCAGAAGTCTATCACAAGCAGGACCTGAGTGCAACACCATCCTCCCCACTTGCAATCCCCTACAACTAGTATTCAGAGGCATAAACCCTCTGATAATGGAGGTAGCAGACAGTGATTGGGACTAGTCGCAATCCACAGCCTTATCCTTCATGAATCTGTGCAATCCCTATTCAGACAGTTACAATCATTATGTCTAAGCTGCACCAGGAGAAGGCTTTCTTGGTGGCTGTGCAAAGGCCTTGGAACTCCCTAACCATCTTTCCCACTTTCTGTCATTGCATGGACCTTATTCTCCTAGTAGATGTTTGACCTGCAGACATGTCCAGTTCTAATCCTCCCCCTGTGAGGTATTACCTTGATTTTATTTTTTTCATTTACCCTATTTCTTGCTTTCTTGCTAGCTTGCAGTTTTGTTATTTGATTCTTGCTCTTGTTGGAAGCTACCTTGAAGGCAGGGTATAAATCTATCAACATACAGGGAGAGTGCAACTCAGATGAAACCACTGGGAGATGGATGAAGGCTCCATCTTTGAAAAAAATGGTTATCTATTCTGTCACTCATCTCAAAAGCGTTCATACATGTCAGGTTATGTAAGAGTTTTCATGTAACCCCTCCGAGGTATGGCTGGTGCAACAATCTCTTTTTGCTTTCCAACCTCAGATGAAAACATGGTTGTTTCACCAGGCTGTTTACTCAGGTTGTTTAGAGAGGATGTTAGCAGTTAGACTGGATGCTAATATTTTTATTTTATTTTATTTTTATTATTACATTTAAGAATCATTTCGCACAAGGCATCTTGAATGCATATATAACATATATGCAACAGTTACACATATAAAAGCAATTGAAACAATTATATAAAAAAAAATTATATAAATTTTAAATAAACACTGCTTAAAAACAACAAACAACATATTCAACTCAAATCCAAGACAGATACTAACTGGGATAAGCAATTTAGAAGGCTTGTTGAAAGGGAACATCTTTAACAAGTGCTGAAAAGACAACAGACAAAGCACCTGCTTGATATGCAGAAGGGAGTGCCACCTGACAGGTGCCCCCACTCTAAAGGTCTAATTCCAACATTATGTGGGATAGACCTCCTGCCTAGTTGGTGTCCTTCTACATACTGTTGATCCATCTATTATCATGCATCTCCCTGGGATCACTTGCAATGAAGTGCAGGTTAGAAATATTTCAAATAAACAAATAATTCAAGAAGGCAACAGTTCAACAGGTGCTCTTTGAAGCAGGTAAAGGAAATGCAGGCTTGTTCATAAAGGGGTGTGTGTGTGTGTGTGTGCAGGGAAACAAGAAATTCACAGCCATGGACACACACACACACACACACACACACACACACAGGTCATCTTGCCTTTGGACCAGTAAGATCTTCTAGGTGAGGTAAAAAAGATCTTCCTTTGAATTATAAACAAATACAAAAGCTTGAGGCATATCAGTAATGAAAAGCCCAAGGCCTCCTGCGAATTTCACAGCAGGACCCATTCAAGCCTATTTTGAAACGCAGGTTAGCAGCACAAAGATAAAAGGCTCATAGCCTATGGATTTGACCTCAGAGGCTTGAGACTCTACAGAGCACTGAGGGGGGAGATTTAAAGAAAAGCCCAACGTGGAAATTGGGGGTGTTTCAAGCACTGGGACGACATATTAAACCATTCTTCTGCAAATAAAAGTAGATGCAGAGCCCACACGGGAGATTTTAATGTAACTGACATTTTTTTAAAGAGAGAAAGAGTCCACAACTTTGGGGGCTACCTCACCTTTCTACAGCTAGCCAAAATCCAAGTCTAAAACCTACCACAATCCTTTATTTCAATGAGACCCAGGTTTTAACCTCTCTGGCTCCACAGTAAAGGTTTTAGGTGGCATTACATTCTGGACTCTTCATTGGCCAGTTACAATAGTTTCTTTCATCTGCCCCTTCTTCTTGTGCTATGGTTGCAAGCACAGCTCCTGAAAAGGAGAAAGCTCGCCCCTTGGCCCCTCCCAAGAAACATAAAATGGAAGCAATGGAAAATCAACTGAGAGTGTGACAATCATGCCATCTATCTCTCCAATCACACATCCTGCAGAAACAATTAGGCAACCTCCAAATATTTTCTGACCACATGCTACACGCACCACATCCAACGAAGATAGACCAAGATTGGCTTTGCTCAGGTTCAAACGTTAATGCCAAAATCTTGGTTCACACCAAAAATTTAGTTGTTTGATTATTATGTCTTCTAGGACAGGCAAAACACAGGGTGTGTATGTGTGATTTCCCTTCCCACCCCCCACCCCCAGCTTCCTTGAGAATGCCTGAATGCTGGCCACAAACACCGGGCTCCGCGTGTGGGGCTCCGTACCGACCATGTTTGGTAAGAACATAAGAGCCTGCTGGATTGGTCCATGGATTTCAGCAACTGGTTCTCACAGCAGCCAACCAGGTTGCCTGTGCTGAGTTCAAATGTTATGCCAAGACACAACATGCCCCAAATGTGGTTTGCAAACTAGCTTGAAAATCAGAGTTTCAGAACCAAGTTCAGTGGCCACTCCTAAGCCATGGCTTGTCAGAAATGTTTCTTCAGGCATCACAAACAGGGGGGTTTGGTATTACACCTAGTCCAAGTCCTTTTCCTAACATAGCGTGCTTGGCATCCCTTCTGTTCAGACACTCAAGCCCCTGAACCTTTACCATAAGAACATAAGAAGCTGTCTTATACAGAGTAAAATACATTGGTCCACCTAGTTCAGCACTGTCACTGACTGGCAGTGGCTCTCCAGGGTTTTAGGCAAGGGTCATTTGCAGCCCTACAGGGAGATACTGGGAATTTAACTTGGAATCTTCTTTATGCAAGTGCTCTACTACTGAGCTACAGCCCTTATCCTTGCATTCTGCCTTCACATGGCGTCTAACACCCTTGCTTGCCACTACTCTACAATATTGCACAGACTCCGTGTTCCTGAACAAAACTGTTTGCAAAGGTTTTAGAATGGGAAGGGGATCTGTGGGGGGCCCTGTTTCATGTGCAAACTGCAAATAGCAACTGTTGCTACTGCACCTCTCTCCTTGTTGATTCCACATTTAATGGATTTGCCTTATGCCGGCGCTCCTGACTTATGAATACCAACAGTCAGGCAAAAGCCAAGGATTAATATCGCTTACACCAGAGGCCACCGTCACATAGAGGAGAAGGCACAGACTCTGGATAGCAACGGGGGCATCAACACAAGCTATGAAATAAAAACAGAGAGCTGGTAACCCAAGCAATCCCACACACTGCAACAACCATTACAGGAAGATCTATATACTCTCAGCCTTTGATTGGTTCTAAAAGCAGGAAATGCCCAAATGAATATTTTCAAGGCTCCCCAGTCCAACACTTTTTGTGTTTCTTATCCCATAAGCAGCTCATCAACTGCCACCGTAGAGAGATAAAGGAGGGGGCAGGAAGATGCAATCCACAATGCAAAGTTTAAAGAGGTTTTCATATAACAGTTACTGTTAGCACTTATATTAAGGGGGTGCTTATTTTATCCAGACTGCCAGGGCTTTAACAACCAGTGCAGGGACACCTGGGCTGGGGGAGAGGACTGCCACTTACAGAAGAGCCTTAGCTCAATGCTAGGGCACCTGCTTTGCACACAGAAGGTCCCAGGTTCAACCCCCAGCATCTCCCGGTAGGGCTAGGAATGTCCCCTGCCTGAAACCCAGGAGAGCCAGTCAGCCAATTGGTGCAGATAATACTGAGATAGATGGAACATTGGTCTGACTCAGTATAAGGAAGTTTCCTATGTTCCAAAGCAAGCTCCTCTACCTAGGCCCACACAGATAAACAAGGTACAGACTTTAGATGAGAAGATCTTGCAACAGAGAAGGGCTTATGCGCTCTACTGGATTTTGCTCCTACTGCTGTTATGTGCTGCTTCCCATCCAGCGGCGGAATATCACCACACTCAATAATCACAACTTGACCAGGATATGATAATCTTATTTTTTATTTCAGGGTCCGCTGATTTTTACTTCTGTCACTGTGCAACTGTGGTTATGTATAGGCAGCCAATGAGAGATCAGAAGGCTCTTGATCACATCACCTGGACTACATGGGGCATCACACAGCCCAGGGGGTTGCTCAGCCGCCTTTGTACACCTCATCCATGTGCTGCAGTACTGAGTTTCTCCCACTCTAAGACATTTCCAAAGCCA